AAATGTCTTTTTTTAATGTAAAACCTTCTCGGGGGCCCCAAATATCTTTTTTTAAATGTAAAAACCTTCTCGGGGTCCCAAATGTCCTTTTTTAAAAATGTAAAACCTTCTCGGGGGCGCGAAAAGTTTTTTTTTACTGAAAAATATTTTCGGGGGTGCCAAATGTCTTTTTTTAATGTGAAATCTTCTGGGGAGTTCCAATTGGTTTTTTTTAATGTAAAACCTTCCCGGGGGCTCCAAATGTCTTTTTTTTAATGTGAAACATTCTCAGGGACCCCAATGTCCTTTTTTTAAAATGTAAAACCTTCTCGGGGGCGCCAAATGTTTTTTTTTTAAAGGTAAAACCTTCTCGGGGGACCCAACTCCCTTTTTTAAAAATATAAATCCTTCTCGGGGGTCCCAAATATCTTTCTTTTAATGTAAAACCTTGACGGTGGGTCCCAAATGTGTTCCTTAAAAATGTAAAACCTTCACGGGGGTTCCAAGTGTCTTTTTTAATGTAAAACCTGCTCGGGGGCCCCAAATATATTTCTTTTATGTACAACCTTCTCGGGCCTAAATGTCTTTTTTTAAATGTAAAACCTTCTCGGGGGTCCCAAATAACTTTCTTTTTATGTAAAACCTTCTCGAAGGTCCCAATTGTGCTCTTTAAAAATGTGAAACCTTCACGGGGGCCCCAAGCATCTATTTTTTTTTGTAAAACCTTCTCAAGGGTCTCAACTGTCTTTTAAAAATGTAAAACCTTCTCGAGCCCCCCAAATGTCTTTTTTTTCAATGTAAAACCTTCTCGGGGGTCCCAAATATCTTTTTTTAAATGTAAAACCTTCTCGGGGGTCCCAAATATCCTTTTTTAAAAATGGAAAACCTTCCCGGGGGTGCCAAGTTTTTTTTACTGTAAAATATTTTCGGGAGTGCCAAATGTCTTTTTTTAATGTGAAATCTTCTGAAGGGTCTAAATTGCGTTTTTTAAAAATGTGAAACCTTTACGGGGACCCGAAGTGTCTTTTTTTCAATGAAAAACCTTCTCAAGAATCTCAACTGTCTTTTAAAAATGTAAAACCAGCTCGGGGCCCCCAAGTGTCTTTTTTTGAATGTAAAACCTTCTCGGGGGCCCCAAATATCTTTTTTTAAATATAAAAACCTTCTCGGGGGTCCCAAATGTCCTTTTTTAAAAATATAAAACCTTCTCGGGGGCGCCAAAAGTTTTATTTTACTGTAAAATATTTTCGGAGGTGCCAAATGTCTATTTTTAACGTGAAATCTTCTGGGGGGTTCCAATTGTTTTTTTTTTTTTTTAAGTAAAACCTTCCCGGGGGCTCCAAATGTCTTTTTTTTTAATGTGAAATCTTCTCAGGGACCCCAATGTCCTTTTTTAAAAATATAAAACCTTCTTGGGGGTCCCAAATATCTTTCTTTTAATGTAAACCTTCACGGGGGCTCCAAGTATCTTTTTTTTTATGTAAAACCTTCTCGGGGGCCCTAAATGTCTTTTTTTAAATGTAAAACCTTCCCGGGGGTTCCAACTCCCTTTTTTGGAAATGTAAAACCTTCTCGGGGGCCCCGAATATCTTTCTTTTAACGTAAAACCTTCTCAAGGGTCTCAATTGTTTTTTAAAAATGTAAAACCTTCTCAGGAGTGCCAAATGTCTTCTTTTTAAATCTGAACCCAACTATTTTCTTGAAAAATGTAAAGCCTTCTCGGGGGTCCTAACTGTTTTTTTTTATGTAAAACCTTCTCGGAGGGGTCCCATTTGTTTTTTTTTTTTAATGTGAAACCTTCACGGGGGCTCCAAGTGTCTTTTTTTTAATGTTTTTTTTTGAATAACACAATTACTTAATAACGATTTTGCTAACCAAAATGTTCATCCCCACCAATAATTTGATGACGACATTTCAAAGAATTCTATGTTTATTTGATTTAACTGTTATACAGCAATATAGTCCTGTAGTGTGGTGTACGAATCCGCTTTGAGTTTTTCCCTAACCTATTTTTTAAAAAACATAATACACGGTATAATAACAGTTTACCATGGGCGTAACACATTCCGGCGGTGGTCTACTGGTTACGAGTGAGGAATGCGGACCGGACGTCGCGGGTTCGATTCCAAACTTAGCCTTTCGTTTTTTTTCTCTTTTTCTCTAGCATTGTGTATTATTTATGTTTATGCTGTCATAACAAATTTTTTTATTGATGAAATTACCCCACTTCTCCGAAAAGGTGAGAATACGCCCTTGTTTTTAAGAATGTCGAACATTCTCGGGGGTCCCAACAACCATTTTTAAAAATTTAAAACCTTCTCGGGGGTCCAAATATCTTTCTTTTAATGGGGGGTCCCAACTGTGTTTTTTTAAAAATGTGAAACCTTGACGGGGACCCCAAGTGTCTTTTTTTTAATGTAAAACCTTCTCAAGGGTCTCAACTTTCTTTTGAAAATGTAAAACCTTCTCGGGGCCCCCAAATGTCTTTTTTTTTCATGTAAAACCTTCTCGGGGGGCGCAAATATCTTTTTTTTATGTGAAACCTTCTCGGGGGTCCCAAATATCTTTTTTTAATGTAAAACCTTGTCGGGGGGTCCCAAATGTCCTTTTTTAAAAATGTAAAACCTTCTCGGGGGCGCCAAGTCTTTTTTTTACTGTAAAATCTTTTCGGGGGCGCCAAATGTCTTTTTTTAATTTGATATCTTCTAGGGGGTTCCAAATGTCTTTTTTTAATGTGAAACCTTCTCAGGGGTCCCAGATGTCCTTTTTTTAAATGTAAAACCTCGGCGGTCCCAACTCCCTTTTTTAAAAATGTAGAACCTTCTCGGGGGTCCCAAAAATCTTTCTTTTAATGCAAAACCTTCTCTAGGATCCCAATTGTGTTTTTAAAAAAATGTAAAACCTTCTTGGGAGCCCCAAATGTCCTTTTTTAAAAATGTAAAACCTTTCAGGGGGGCGGCAAATGTCTTTTTTTAATGTGAAATCTTCTGGGGGGTTCCAACTGTGTGTTTTTTTTTTTTAATGTAAAACCTTCTCGGGGGCCCCCAATATCTTTTTTTGTTAATGTGAAATTTTCTCAGGGGTCCCAAATGTCCTTTTTTAAAAATGTAAAACCTTCCCGAGGGTCCCAACTGTCTTTTAAAATTGTAAAACCTTCTCGGGGGCCCCAAATATCTTTTTTTAAAAATGTCAAACCTTCTCGGGGGTGCCAAGTCTTTTTTTTACTGTAAAATCTTTTCGGGGGCGCCAAATGTCTTTTTTTTAATGCGAGATCTTCGGGGGGGTTCCAAATGTGTTTTTTTTTAATGTGAAACCTTCTCAGGGGTCCCAAATATCTTTCTTTTAATGTAAAACCTTCTCGAGGGTCCCAATTGAGTTTTTTAAAAATGTAAAACCTTCTCGAAGGCCCCAAATGTCATTTTTTAAAAATGTAAAACATCGGGGACGCCAAATGTCTGTTTTTAATGTGAAATCTTCTGCGGGGTTCCAACTGTGTTTTTTTTAAATGTAAAACCTTCTCGGGAGCCCCAAATATCTTTTTTTTAATGTGAAATTTTCTCTGGGGTCCCAAATGTCCTTTTTTAAAAATGTAAAACCTTCTCGGGGGTCTCAAATGTCTTTTTTTAAATGTAAAACCTTCTCCGGGGTCCCAAATGTCCTTTTTTAAAAATGTAAAACCTTCTCGAGGGCCCCAAACGTGTATTTGCTGGATTGTACTTCAGAAGCGAAGGAAGTTCTGTCCAAATAACTTTCGACATTTCTTTTTTAGGGAAATAATTTTTCCGGATTAGCAATCACTGTTTTTAAAATGACGTAAATTTGGTATCTATTACGGGATATCGTCAGAATCAAAGTACTCCCATATAACATCTATAACTTAAGGACAGAGTAACAATAATTAATCATTTGTGTCACTACATTTAAGTGTCAAAATAGTATAACACAAGTGACAGATTTGAACATTAATTTGTAAGTGACACCATGGCCGACTAGTATAAATATTATAGCCTGTCCAAGAGGTAATGAAGAGGTACCATAGGTGTTGCCATCTATTAATAATTACATTTAATAATTTAGCAAAATTTTAATTTGATTTGACATTATGAGACTTCAAAACGTGTAATGATCGTTTGTTTCGGTATGAATGCCTTTGTGCCTTTCAAAAAGTGTTAATAATTCTTTTGTCGTTTTTGAATTATTAATAGATGGCAGCACGTATGGTACCCTTGGACAGGCCATAATCTTTATACTAGTCGGCCATGGCGACACAATGGTGTTTGCCGCACACACTAAATAATGTTAAAAAAATTAGGTTAAGATTGGCGTTTGCGACAGGAGACAACGAGTAATCATCAATCATTACAACGAGGCGGCAAAATTTGGAGAATTTCAAAACCAACTGGATGTACATTATACAAAAGATACCATTTTATTACACATTTTTATCCAAATAAGCGAAAATGACATGTAGACGTCGTACTTTCTCCATTTTCGGATAGATGACGCCACAACAAAAATTAGAGTTATTACTGAGTAATAAATCGGTTTTCTAAAACCTAATATAAAAGCGTACAACGAAAATCAACACATTTTTTAGAATATAAAAGAAAAAAATTCAAATGCTAAAAAAAACTTCCCAAGTGGTCCCTCTTTCGTTCTAGTTGCTTAAAAATAATGTCGTAATGTAAGCATATTCGTGTATATTTAAATTAACTCTCTTTCAAATTTTTAAATAAATTTACTACTTGATAGGTAGGCAACCAATAATTCAAGTCGTATAATAGATTTCGCAATTTCATGGAAGCGGCAAATTCTTACCAAAAACGCAGTGACAGATTTTCCAAAGCCAACTCGCTTAGGCACTTTTGTTCAATAACGTTGACTTTAACGTCTTTATCGTATGTCATGTCGCTACGCAATTTTTACTTTGATTTTTTTTTTTCGTAAGAAAACTACTAAAACAATTTAAACCACAAAGCTATTTTTGGTATTTTCTTTAATTCATTCTCCACGGCTCTCACCTCTGTCACGATCTCTGGAAGCCTCGCCTGTATGCCCTTGACCGAGTCGGCCCGCATGGCCCTCAGCCCTGAGACGAACTCGTTCCGCGTGAAGCGGCACATCTGCTCGGCGTTCAGCTTCCACGCCAGCACCAGGATGCGGAAGTCGTCCGGGTTGATCTGCAGGTCCCTGCACAGTTGCTCGATGCCCTCGGCGAGTATGCTGTCCTCGACGCTGTCCTTGTACTGGTCGAAGAGGGCGTTCAGTTTCGCGTCGGAAGGCTTGCTGTCGGTGAGACCCATCGCGGGCGCCGACTTCGAGTGGGTCTTCCGCGGGTAGAAGCGCGTTATTGTCGTTTCGGGGAGTGCGGTCAGGTGGTTGCCGTTGCTCAGGATGGTCTCGGAGGGGGCCGAGGAGGCTGGCACGTGACTCGGAGCCGGGTACAGCTGGGCTTCGGGCATTTCTGCAAATCGACAAAAATTACGTTATTATCCCTAGATATGGACTTGTCTAGGGGATTCTGAGCCTCCCCTAGATCTAGACAACATCAAAAATCAATAGAAAATATAGTGTTTTATTTAATATGCGGAAGTCAGAGCAATAAAAAAGTCTGGACCGTCGGCATTGTGATCCGGTTATTGCAATTCGTAGAAAACATCTTTTAGTTTAGTTTCTGTTTCACTCTCACGTCTACAGATTGATAAGTATTATCGCTATTTTTTATTTATTATTAGTATTACAATACATCTTACAAAGCTTATAATGGTTGCCATAAAAAAATAGTAAAATTCGTAAAATCAAATCTTTTAATTTTTTTCAATTATTGTTCGTTTGTGTTAAAATTTCTGCCAAGGACTCTATCACTAATTTTCCATTAGTACTCCTGTTAAAATCATTCGACGCATTTTGAATTAATTTATGGTATATTCTGACTTTAATAAAGACCAACACGTTAAGAAACTATTGGAAATGTTAGACAGGTAATATAAATAAATTGGTACACACTTAATTGGTTAAAGAATTAAGACGGATTCATAAACCACAAGTATAAGAGTACGTTATTTCATAAAATTTACAGAACTTTACTAGACAAATTTTAGTCATCGTTTTACCTTCTACAGAATATTCTTCCAATACTTATAAAATTAGATACCATCAGGATTTTTTTTTGTTGTTATCTATACATAACAAAATTCCATAGAACGAAAAGAGTGTCTTATTTTTGTAGTTTTCAAGTTTTAAATCATAAAAGATCTTGTTGAATTAGTTACTTTTTAGTAATTTTATGTTCTGTGTAATATATGTAAATAAATTCATAGATGCAGCTGCACAAACCGCAAGGATTAAATGACGCATGATGCAGACCACGTTTTCAGACACGACGAGGAAATTGTACATATTTTAAACAAGAAAATACAATCACATATGTATTTCGAAATTATCGCCGCTACCAAAATTCGATATCAATATTCAAAAGTAAACAGAAACTTGTCGTTTTTAAACATTTCACCAATAAAAATACGCTGCATATTTATTTAAATTATCAATTCTTGACCTCAGAGGTATTTATATCTATTTTCACGAAAAATAAAATTTCTTATGTATACAATCCAGATAAGCTGATTAGACAAAAATCCGTTTTATATTTTCGTTTCCCACAAAATAACCGTGATGCTGAAAGTTTTATTGAATGAAAAAAACCCAACATAATTTATAATACATCACCATTCCTTAAATTCTTAGGATCCATTAGCTAAAACGGTTTTTAAAAAATTAAACAGATCTGGCTACTTTAAACAATTTTTTCCACGCCAAATGTTTTAAAAGCATGTGCATGTTATTATAAGTGAAGGTTAATAACACCAGATGTTCAGCATGGGTCAAGCAAACATAAAATCCACAATAAATTTTATTATGTGAGGTGTAATAAACAACAAAACAAACTCCTGTTCAAATAACAAAATGTACACAAAGCGCGAAAATCGACCAAAACTTCAAAGCTTGGACACTTAATTCATAACACGTTTACGAATAATTTTTCGAGCTTCAGGTAGCTCGAGTGTCCCACTAACCTTTAGGACAATTGGGGGAGTTGTCCAGGGCCGTACTGTTGGGCTCCTTGAAGCACGCCAGGCAATTGCCCATTGGAAGGGCCCAAACGAAACCTCGCGAGGATTTTCAGGAAACACTCTTGCATTGCCTATGCTGACTGTACCATCAAACCCTGCAAGAGCACCCATACAACAAACGGCAAAGCGGCGGCCGGCAAATACCTTAAGAAACTTCTAATCTAACACTATTTACGCGACGAATTCACTATTTTCGCTGAGTTTTCTGACGGAATTTTCATTATGACACTTGACGGATTCTGGAAGTAGGAATTGTCATTGCTGCGTTGCGACCTGGGCTGGAAATGTGCTCGGAATTGTCTGGCACATAAAGCTGGGCTGACGGGGGCGGCGCGCCACTACTGGGAGGCTTGCTGTTGTCACTTTTGCGGGGGCAAACTATCACAATACATCTGTTGATTTGACAGATGCAGCTGATTGTGGCTAAGTTCACGCCGTGAGAACTGTCAAAACAGGTGGTGCCATCTGTGCGATCTCGACAACGCGCAGGAAAATTTTGACAGTTCACAAACCCAGAAATTACACAGACTCACTTCCCAGAATTTTGAAACTGCTTCTGGTTTTGTTATGTACACGACATCATTACTTATAAGCTAAAAGAACATTAAAATTTTACATTGAATCGCATCAGTAGCAATCAGTAGTATTTGGAAATGCCATACCACAAACCTAAAAGAATATAGATTATATGATATTTAGGGTACAGTAGCGGTCATTTCTACGGAACCACTCGATAAAAAGTCAAGTTGGTAGCCCTGTTGTCTAGTACTTTAGGCCGAACGCCGTTGGTAGCGGTAGTTGATATGGCAATCGAAACTAGCCCAACACGAATGTTTCGGTTGCCCTCAACTATGCCGCACTGTATCCCGTGCAGGCTGTATGTTCTGTTCATCTATTTATTAACATAAAATATCTACATTAACAATGGGGCCATCTAACCTGTCAAATTTTTGACACATGTTTTCCCCCAGAAACCCGTCAAGGTCACTTACACCAAACAAATTTTGAAAATTTACACTAGGGAGTGGTTCTATAGAAAAGATCGCGACTTTAGTTTCAAAGTCTAACACGAGAAATTATATTATTAGCAATCATTTTTGTATGCATCAGTTACTTTTAAAAATGGAAGTAGAAAACAATAGTGGCATGTTGCATGCAATGCAATTTTTATATGCAATTTTAATAAGTGATTATTTCCTGGTACACTAATACATACAACTGATACAAAATAAATAAATTAAACGAAAACGTTACTCTAAAATGAAGTCACTTATCTTTTTTAGTTTCGTTCTAACGTCGACGTTTTTGGTAAAGTTGTGGTTGAAATAAAATGCCAATTTTTGCGTACACTAAAATTTTAGATCGACATAGTTGCTGCTTATCCACCTTCCGGTAGACAGGACAATTTCGATACTGATTGGTACGATAGACCAAATGATTATAACTCACAAGGACAATCAGGATTTTCGTCGCCTAATAATAATAACAGAGAGTCGTCTCAACCGGAAGAATATGCTCCCGTGAATCAGTTTCCGACGTCACAAAATCGACCTAATTATTCAAATGGAATGGAACAATACGGATATGCCTCTCAAGGAACCGAAACTAGATATTCAGAATCACGGCTTTAGAGATAATAATGTAGAAACGAAAATTTAAAACTTTGTTTTATTTTTAAATATTTACAGAAATACTGGGCGACTGTTAATGTTGAAACAAATTTTTGGGTTGGCAATAGTGTTAACATGGTAGTCTCAGTTGTCAATTTTGACATGAGCGCACCTAAAAACCGATGAGAATAGTCACTAGGTGCAAAGGTGTGAGGTAGCACGATGGGTTATTTCAGGATCACTTACATTGTTCTGAAATAAATATTCTATTATTATTTTATCTCATTTCGTATCATTAATAATATGTCGAAAGTGCGAACATACGGTGAACACATGTATGTTCAATGATATAATGAAATCAGTTCTCATTTTGACTTGTTTTAATTTACTTCGTAATTTTTAGTATTTTTTAAAAAACGCTAGAATTTGCCTTTTAGAAATTAATTTTTCTCCATTTTTATTTTTTTTCCAAGACGACGCACTTCTTTGATATTTTATAACAAACTAAAGAAAAAAAAGTTGTGTTTTCAAGATTGCTCAGTAATTATCCGTTCTGAATAAGATTTTTTTTTAAACACTCGGAGCGACTATAAATGTTTTGTGTATTTTTTTTTTGTCAGGTTGGTAACATATTGTATTATAAAATTTTATGATGGCATAAATGGTCGTCAATCTGAAATTTATGACACCAAGGCAGTGGCGGCGATGTTCCCATTACGTTTGTAAGGCGACAGCATTGTCAATAATTCATTATTACCAATACAAAAATTTGCCTTTTTTTATTAAATGGGTTAGGTCTTTTTGTTTTATAAACAGTCAACATTTAACAGTTTTAATTAAATAAGCAATAAATATACACAACACAAAATATATAGAGGACAAAACAAAATTAATGAAACAAAGCAACAATGATGCATCAGTTCTCTACCAAGCCAAGTCTATTTCACTACCAACCCTCTTACCAGATTACAGTACAAATTCCCTAGAAGAGATGCCAACTACCAGAAAAAAAGAACTAAACTTGCACATGGTTGCCTATGTTTAACGATTTTCTTAAGTTTTTTTTTTTTCCAAATTCAAATTCAAATGCGATTTGGCGCCGGTTTTTTTTTTGAGCGCGAAATTTTTAATTCAAATTTGGACACCACAATGTGTTTTTCCATAAATTAGCAAGTATTTTTGTTATTTAATAAAGTCGAGTTTTCTTCCTTTCGTTTCACTTCAACAACAAAACAACATGCTATCATAACCTCAAAATTTCAACAAATAGATTAGAACAAATAATTTTCTTCATTAAAGAAGTTAATATAAAATAAATTTATTTGATTTATTTGTGTACTGTTTTAAAATTTCTAAATTTCTGCTCTTCCTAACAAAAACTAACTTCAGTCAAGTCCAACATTTGAATAAGGTAATTAAAAAAACCAAAACAGAAAAACACCTTAAATTAAAAAAAAAACTGTTTTAAAACAATTAAAACAAAGCGTTTTTAATCACCAACAACTCTAGTCACCCGGTACCAAGAAAACAATACAAAAACATCAAAGATAGCCATGAATTTTTGAAAAGTTGTCTTTCGAGAGTGTTTTTTATTGCTCTCTTGGTAATCATTATTATCTACCATGTGACTAAAATAATGTTTCTGAATTTTTTTGTCGGATTGGCGATATATTTAAAATTTTATGATGTTATACCTGATTGTCAAATTCACATTTATGACACCCAGTTATTAGCTAGTAAAGTAGCGGTCATTTCTACGGAACCACTCGATAAAAAGTCAAGTTGGTAGCCCTGTCACCTAGTACTTTACGCCGAACGCGGTTGGTAGCGGTAGTTGACATGGCAATCGAAACTAGCACAACACGAATGTTTCGGTTGCCCCAGAGATTTCTTAGTAACCTAGATACGGCTATGGGCAGCAAAGTGTGGAACAACATGTATGAAAATAGTGTCGACATACTTTCAGTTCTCTGTCTTTCTCTTACTCGTTGTAATGTGCACTACATACTAGTGTTATCTTCTTCTAATTCTAGCGACTGTTAACATTGGTTGATAATTTGGCGCACTGATTTAAAATGGTATAAAAGAGAATCATAACTCGAGTTTTTTAACAAGTGGCAAACGAAAAGTTTCTAAGCAATCTCCAAAATGATTTGTAATGTTAAGATATTACACGGACAAGATCGTTGGAATAAATTTGACTGTCGACTTCCCTTTTTTCGTACTTTTTCTTTATCATTCACACCGGCGAAACTCTTGAAAAATGACATAATACAATTTTCTTATAGTCAAAAGTTTTTGTTGCCACGAACGTTTCCAACATAAATAGAGAATCGTATTGTATTTATTTGCATGCACAATGTCGAGAGCTTAAAACGAAAAAGAAAAAAGACGTACAGCTGTGGTATAAATTTATTAACATTATTATTAAATATTGGTGATTTAATGTAATCTTAGTTACTCATTATTAAATAAAATGCATTTTACTAATTTACTTCTTATTTTCGCCTGTTCTGAAACAAAATTTACCAGTTTCGCTTCGCGATGCAAGCGGACATTTAAATACATTTGCGCTATTGCCTTCATCAATTGTATTTTATGATTATCTAGTAATCCCTGAGAAATGCAATGATTGTTCATGTCGGGATTATTAAAAATCTTTGTAATATTTTTTCGAAACAAAAGAATTATTAGATCTTTCTTTGCATACAACACACATTCTGTAACCTGTTTTTAGAAATTCTATGCAATTTAAACTTATAACCGTGACATAAATCTTATAACCTAAGAAATCTCTTAGAACAAACTAACAAACACACAACACCGGAGATTGTATGAATTAAGAACCGACTTGCGCTAGCAGAATTTAAGGGTTTACTGCGCAAAATCGTAAATTGCTAGGTTTAAACAAAGACCTACAAAATCATCCTCCTGCGTTCCCATGCTGTAAAAGAAGATGGAAAGCAAAAGGCATAGTGTACATGTTGGCCAAGAACGTATGTTCGCTTTTGCATAGGATCATCGTATCTAGGTTACTAAGAAATCTCTGGGTTGCCCTCAGCCATGGTAGAAGGAGACATGGTATAGGCATCCGATGTACCAATTTAAAAATGGTCTGCGCATCCATTTGTGACGTTAGGTGGCATCAACGACCTTGTGACTCTTGTGAGCTTCGCTAGGGAAGTCTAGGGAATTTCAGCTTGAGTTGTCATTGCTCTGTCCAATACGTCAATTAATTTAATTTCACCCCACTTGACGTCACACCCGATGCGTATGCCTATACCATGTCTCCTTCTACCATGCCCTCAGCCACGGTTGTAGAATAGATAGGTTGATACACTAGCATACATTTGCATATCCCTGGTCAGCGACGCCAATTGTCGATCGCGTCGCCTGGTTTTTGACGTTTTAGGGACACAGAACTCTGTAGGCATCTGTCTATAACCGATGTAATTAATAAAAGAAATCGTACTTATCGACACCGATCAAATGTCATTTACAAATTTTGTATTGTTCATAAAGCAACGTAAACGAAAATCCCCAAAATAACTAGAATGATTTCCGCTCGACAAGGTAGAGGCGCTAGCTGTATGTGTCCTTTCCATGGATATAGGGATCGAAAAGAAGCGTCGCCATTCCAAGCCATTAGTGTACAAACCTATCTATTCTACAACCGTGCCCTCAGCTATGCCGCACTGTATCCCGTGCAGACTGTATGTTCTGTTCATCTATTTATTAAAATAAAATATCTACATTGACAATGGGGCCATCTAACCTGTCAAATTTTTGACACATATGTTTTCCCCCAGAAACCCGTCAAGGTCACTTACACCAAACAAATTTTGAAAATTTACACTAGGGAGTGGTTCTATAGAAAAGATCGCGACTTTAGCTGTCAGCTGTCATCGTTTCAACCAATCTACACGTTTGTAAGGCGTGCTCATGTCAAAACTGACAACTGTGAACTGACATATTAGCATGGTTGCCAATAATTAAAAATTGCTAGTACAAAAATTTTCTTGAATCATTAATAGTCACCCAGTATTATTGTAAATGGATGCTTATATATTCAACAATTAAGGAAACGGGTTTACGTAATGGTACTAGAAATTGGTAGAACGAATAGTTATCTATATTATAAAATTTTATGATGGCATAAATGCTTGTCAATTTGAAATTTGTGGCACCAAGGCAGTGGCGGCGATCTTCTCATTACGTTTGTTAGGCGCCTTCATGTCAAAATTGACAGCTCTGAACTGACATAGCATTGTCAATAATTCAGTATTGCCAACACAAAAATTTTCCTTTTTTATTAAATGGGTTAGCTTTTTTGTTTTAAAACATTTTTTTTTATTTTTTAGTATTTTTTTTTGTTATTATAAACAGTTAACATTTAACAGTTTTAATTAAATAAATAATACAGTGTATAGTAAATATACACAACACAAAATATATGGAGGACAAAAAAAAACTTAACCAAACAAACCAACAATATTGATGCACCTCAATTCTCTAGCAAGCAAGTCTATTTCACTACCAACCCTCTTACCAGATTACACCACAAATTCCCTAGAAGAGGTACCAACTACCAGAAAAAAAGAACTAAACTGTTTTAAAATTTCAAAATTTCTGCTCTTCCTAACAAAAACTAAACTACTTCAGTCATGTCCAACATTTTAACAACGTAATTTAAAAAAAATTAAAAACAGAAAAACACTTTAAATTTTAAAACAAAAAAAAACTGTTTTAAAACAATCAAAACAAAGCGTTTTTTATTCACCAACAACTCTAGTCACCCCGTACGAACAAAGCAATAAAAAAAACATCAAAGATAGCTATGAATTTTTGACAGCTTGTCTTTTTTTGTCAAAGAGAAATCTTCAAAAATCCGTGGCTTTCTTCTATGGTGTTTTTTATTGCTCTCTTGGTAACCATTATTATCTACCAAGTGACTAAAATAATGTTTGTGAATTTTTTTGTCTGGTTGGCGACATATTTAATTTTTTTTTGGTATACCTGATTGTCAAATTCACGTTTATGACACCTAGTTAGCCAGTAGCCTAGTAGCTGCCATCGTTTCAACCAATCTACACATTTGTATAAGGCGTGCTCATGTCAAAACTGACAACTGTGAACTGACATATTAGCATGGTTGCCAATAATTAAAAATTGCTAATACAAAAATTGATTCAATCATTAATGGTCACCCAGTATTATTGTAAATGTGTGCTTATATTCTCAACAATAAAGGAAACGGGTCTACGTAATGGTACTAGAAATTGGTAGAATGAAGAGTTACTAAAAATATTAAACTTATTGCAATTTTTTTTATTTAATTAACGCGTATTTTTTGTAACAATGATAACTTAAATTTATGTATTGTGATAACCCAAACTTCCCGCCTTAAAATTTGACCTTGAAACAGTTTGAAAGGCCCGCGAAAAATTCAAAAATTCAAAGTTTGGCCTTGGCTGTGATCGTCTAACAAATGAGAACCTACGTTGTGTGTTTTTTTTTTGTTTTTGAAAAATGGCGGGAAGAAGTTCTTTCATACAAGTGCATACACGGTCGAGAGCGCCAGAAATAATAGACAAAATTAGGTTGGTCAAAAGCCTTCCTAAGGGGGAAAAAGAAACGAAGAACGACAACGGCTCAATTTGCCCTTCTGGCGAGTCCGCAGGGCCAAGGTGTCATCGGTCTTCATTCCCCAAAACCCCCTGGGGTTTTATTCACCGACATATTACATGTCAGACACCTTAAGATATGTGAAAGAAAAACACTCGCGAATTGACAGACATACACATATGAAAACCGAACAAACACAAGACCTACACATATGTAAATTGGATGGCAGAACCCGAATCATTATGAGAGTGTGGCGATCGAACAACATATTGAACAAAATATATCAATTTCATTTACGAGCACAGAAAATACCCAGAGGGGGCGTTGTAGCGCAAGTAGAGGTTGGGACTTCTGATCGTCACTGTTCTCCCCCACGACGGTGATTCTATCTACACCAAAGCCTGCTCACACGCACATCTCCATTACGAACGTGCCCTGCGAAACGAGGCGGTTACGATCGCAGATCCGTAGTGGGGTCCCGGCTATCACGAAACCGGCAGCGTTAAAAACCCGCGACCGCCCCACTGAAGCTATACAAAACCCGCGGACTTGTGCAGGTGACGCGATTAATCCCGTCAGTTTGAGAAGAAGTCGCGCGCCCCACGTACACTACGAGTTATGTGTCATTTACCTTTAATTTCATTTAAATGTTCAATTTCTATGACTCTAATTTTAAATGACAACCGAACAAGTGTTAAAGTTTCAACAAAGAGCAATAAACCACATTTAAATTCGCCACACACTCTTACGAAAATTCAACAACAAATAATTCTTAATTGAGATCAAATTTGGACATCCGATAATTTATATGAGAGAAACATTCATCAACAAAACATTTACATGATCAAAACTTAGCAAAGATTTATAAAACAAAGATCTGGTGTGAAATAAACTTGTGCAAATAAAATATCATGTTAGGTCAAAACTGTAGAGCATGGAAATTTACGTTCAATTCAAATTATACAACAAAGAAAATTACTGAAGCTAAAATTGTGAGACAAAGACAAATTGCATGAGGTGAAAGATTGTAAAGTTAACAGATTTACATGTGATTAATATTAATTCGTGTCCAGTCAAGTTATTGGTTAAAATTCAAACGTGAAATTATTCAGCTACATTGTGGGCCATTATTACACATACATTTCCCCAAACAAAACACATAAACAAACATGGCAGACAATCTGCAGTTGCAAAATGGCGTTGGACGAATTCGTCATTCCAAATAATAGGCGTCGAAAATATGCGATGCAAAAATACGATGAATCCTGTGGCGTTGTATAAACAATGTGCTAAATCCAAAGAATAAAGGCACGTCCCCCCATGACCCACAATGTTTGTTAATTTGTTCAATAGATTCAGTTAAAACATGTGCTCGGTTAAAGAAAGAAAATGGACGCTTCAAAATGGCTGCTGCCTGAACAAAGAACGGTGAAAATAACAACTCGTCTGCCGCCATCCAAAATACAGATTTCACAAATATAGCTAAATAAAGCATGGTCCGAACTAGAAATCACTTCCTGTAAAGCCCTACTGCGATGGATTTTAAATGAAAGATAAAAAACGAGATTAGTGGAAAAAAACGCACGCGTCGCTGTGTCACGAGGTCAGAAGCACCCGCGGGGCTTGAAACTCGCCGCCAAAACAGGGCCCAGTCCAAAACAGGTGTTCAAAACATACCTCTCCAAAGATGCGAAGATTTCGCCACGGCTTACCGCCAAAAGGAACACAAAAACCTCGTCGTAAGAACGGTGAGAAATCAGGAACACCCAATGACTCAACGGGGCTGCTAGGTTTTCCAATGGAACGGATCAACACTGGAAAAGCAAAAAAACAACAGCAAAAGACACAGAATAATTCACAGTTAAAAATACAACCTGTTGCTCGAAGCGCTCGAAAGGAAGTCGACCGTTTGTTCCAAGCGGTCAAAACGAAGTGGGCGGTTTTACCCGAGACAAAACTACCCGCACATTTTTTTGCGCATGTCATCTTTCTTGGTGTCGTTTGTTGCCAACCTCTTCTTCTTACCGTTGATCCATATTGAGAGAAAGGACCTTGAAAATTATCATCAGTCAAATTAACATCATAGATCGGGAAAATGCAATTTTTATTTTTCTCTCTATATTATTATTCGCAGTATTTGTCCGACTATCTGAATTTGGAGATTTTATTTCTAAAACATTGCGACATTTAATTTCTGTTCTTGTTTGTGTTGTAAAAGGATTTTTTGAAACGGTCCACGATGTAAACTTGATGAACTTCATTTTGAGTTATCTATCATTAACTGAATTAATGCTTAATTTAACCCCATGTAAATTATTTGTTAATATTCATTTTATTATCGTCAAAATTCAGAAACTTTTAATTTTAATCGAAATAAACGCATGTCAGAATGTCTATCTGCAATTCCAGATTTTCACCCTAGTGGATCAGGCTGTCTAGTTGGCTGCGTCCTTAGCGAGGATGGAAGTAACAGCGCGTGTTGTGTCTGTGGTTAAGGGAAATAGATCTTCACGAGAAGACGCCCTTCGCACCGCTGTCGCTACACGTCCTTTGTTTTGATTCGTAAAATTTGACCTTAACTAATGAAGACAACAAAACGAACAAGGTATAAATCATAACAACAGTAAGCAAAAATGAAATATATTTTCTCAATATAAAAAAAACTGAAATTATAATTCTGCCTGGAACAAACGCATTATTTATCTTCTCCCAAACCAAAAGTCTTCAAAACTCGACTCATCTCCACATTATCCGTATCCCACATCTCCAACGTCATTACGTCACTTGTGGACATGCTACAAAACCATTTCTCCCATCAAGTTTTACACCTAAAACAACTTACACCACACAAGCCTTGAACGTTTTCATTTTCATCAAAGAATTAAAAAAACTCAACGAAATATCCTTCGAAACGTCGTTTTTTTCTTTGCAGTTGGACAGCCTGCATTCAACTGCCTAAAATCACGCAAAAGTAACTAGTAAGCACTGAGTAAACATATTTTACTTGAAACGGTATATTCAAGAAAGCTTCCTTCATTCGTCGGAGATCTCCGAGCGGTCTGACAATCGTGTACCCAAAATCGACCAAAAATACCTCAACTTCATCGACATTGACACATTTAACGCAACGTCCTCTACACCACTCGGTATCATCTTTGACAAGAACTAGCTCCCCGATTCCTGGGAGAACCGTAAAGGCTTGGTATTCCTGGACCACGTTCATGGCTTCCACCAAAAGCAGAAATGTATCACCTGGAAGAGCAAGTCCAGAGAAAATTTAACCCAATGGGTACCTACTCAAGCTTTCGATTTTAGAGAAATTGCGCTGAATGCGGGCGTAGAAATGGCAAGTGTCTGATATATATCCCGTGATTATAATTTCTATAACTTCTCCAGCAAAAGGTAGTACCATTTTAGTTGTGTCTACACCTTTGTCTTCGGGAGATGCTTCTTCTGCGTCATCGGAGATGTAGCTATTTTCACAATCCTCCAAATCTTTCTCTTTAAGAGTTTTCAAAAAGTCTTCTTCTGAAAGTCGTTCCTCAAAAGCGTAACCATTTCTGACTAATTCTTCGCCTAAACTGTCTGCGTCTGGGTCTGCAGCTTTCCGTAAGTCGATACCGAATGACTTCCTATAGTTTGTATTGAAGGTGAATTTTTTTAAATTCACTTATATTATTACCTTTCCCGGTGGACGAAGATAACCTCAAACTCTGTGCGTCTGTGCATTTCGCTCAGTTTAACGAAGAAGTCGATGCTTCGTTGCGGCCAAAGCATTTTCAAAGGGTGCGGAGAATAAATTCCGGCTAGGTGACACCTGATTGCCAGTTTGGGAAACATGGAGTACAAAAAGTCGTTAATTCCTTTCAGGTTTGTGTAACTATAGAAAAGTTTCTCGCCGTAATCGATCAACTGGATGAAAATTTTTTCACGTTCCTCGTGCTGAAACGACAGTCTAGTTTGTCTACATTTAACGATTTGGTAGCAGTACCATCCAGTTTAGGACTTCAACTCGGTACCACTTCCTCGTCGTCGACAAAAACCCGAAACAGAAATCCCCCAACTGCTTCCTCGCCTCTACTTTCGACTTAAATTTGTTAAGAATGTTGTGCCAGCGTTTGTTCAACATTTCGTTAATGTGTTCCTCGAAACTGTGACGGCTTAGCCCGAAATTCACCCAAAACTTACTTACCTTTCCAACAAAGTTTGATTCCTGCACACGTAGAACTCAGACGGCGACTCTATATGAGAAAACAGACAGCGTTGACCCACGTTTAGATCATCCTCCTCAATAACTACAACAAAAGCTGAAGATTCAGTTGTCGCAGGAACTACCAGTACCGAAAGATCCACATTCGTCTTGGTGTTTTCCCTTATGGTCGAGTAGAAGAACAGTCGAACCTATTCGCTTCAAATCTAGCTTCAACTGTCTATTTTCGAAAAGCTTGGAGGCTTGGGGACGCCAGTCGGTCTGAGGTGATTCGAAATTAAAAGAGACTCGTTTTTTGGGTTTGAATTGTGAAGCTTTTGGAGTTTCTTCGTCTGAAACTTCAGTCATTGAAATTTCTTGTCCTTTGGTAGAGGAGGTTGCTCCCTCTGACTCATAATTTTCTGATTTAAACGCGTTTTCTGCATAATTAATGTTTACGATTGTGTCACTACTGGCATCAGTTGCGTCAGAAGCGTCACCAGTCCCAGACAACTCATTAACAAAACTGTCAAATCGGATTTTCTCTTGGTTGGTAATGGCAGCTTGACAGTTGTCATCTATTTCAGGTAGTACCTCCACCTCTGTATTGTCTTTTGTACTGGTTCCTTCAGCTGAGTGCTCCTTTTTTATTACAACATTCTGGTTCTGTTTTCGGGTACTACAATTTGGACGTATTTCATCGACTTCAAGGAATGCTCTAACGTGGATGTTATCTCTAGTAGAAATTCTGTTGGCTGCGGGAATCCACGGGGGAAAAAGAAATGGATTGAGGTGCGAATTCTCCTTTTCTGGTTGCGCATTTTGCTCTAGTTGTGACAGCTCTGAGCTGACGGTTTTAGATACGTTTTCATACGTGTGAAGCACTTTGATGTGATTCTGTAACACTGCGATCATTTGCATAGAGATTTTGTATTTCTTTGAAGAGGAATCTGGTGTGTGTGTTTCTTCGTAATTGCTTACGGCGTGATGTATCTGTTGAAAAAGTAAAGCTGTAAAAGAATCATAGGTGTAAGAAGAGTTTGAAAATTGATTTATTCTTTGGCTGTCTGATGCTTTCAGAAAAATGCATTACATTTTAAAAATCGACATCATCATAATAGTGTCATATATCACAAGTTCGTTTTCAGATATGTAGGCAACCAAATATACACGAAGAGTAGGAATAATTAAACTATTGTAGATTAGAAATTTTCATTTTCTCGGAGTATATTTCTATTGGGGTGTCGTAAAACCCCGACACTTAATGAAAAAAACACTAATAAAAAATTCAATGTCATTTGTCATTTTTACAAAAATGACATTGTGCTTTGCCGGGTTTCAAAAAAAAGAAAAACAAGAAAAAAGTCCCGGATAGCAAAAGCAGAGTTTACTAAAAATCTAAATAAACAATATTAATAAATGCAAAAATGAATGAGTCAACTACATTACATGTTAATTTTACGCAGTTAAAAAATATTCACTAAAGTAAGGTTATGCAGGTTTATGGACAATGGACATGTTATGGACTTACCTCTTCGTCAATTTTATTCAAAATACTGGTTAGCGATTGTCTATACACAGTTAACACGTTGCACAAGTTATAAAGGTTTGATTCCATTGTGGTGAACACTATTTTTTCCTAATTCTTAGGAAGATGCACTTTTTATTATTCGATTATTCGTTTTTATTACGATTTCGCGGTTCGCGCATAAAATACACAGTGCGTCCAAAGCATGGAACCGAAACGATGGAACATACGAAGCTTGAATGCACTTCATGGCCTTGTAGAAAATCACTTTAAGTAAGACAAACAATAACATAAAATGATAATTCAATTTTTGTCCCTTTTCGCGCAGCAGTGTATCGATTTTTTTTTTCTGATTTTAAAGTATTTCCACTTTCGGTTAACTCATCGAATTCCTTCTGTTTCCGCTTCTTATATTTCCACTGAGTAAAGTTACTATTCAAGCTTTTTTTACTTCCAGAACTGGGTACTTTCATGTGTTCTCGAAGTTTTCTGACACCTAGGGTACGAAAAAATAGATCGCCCGTTTCCCTCCGTTTGTTTACATTTCGTCTGTGTCGATTTTTATTACACAAATTTTGCATATATGTTAGGAGTATTATGTAGATGGTAAAACGCTAACCAAAATTTGTCTGATCATCCCTGCCAACGATGATATGACGTCATCTTCATCGAATGTTTTGAAATCTTGCCAAAGTTTTTTATTCGTTCATGCCCCCCCTTAGGAATTGATGTCATCTTATAATTTTGTCGAATAAATGTTTTTTAAATGTTAAAAAGTAACATAAGCTGAACTTGTGGTGTTGAATTTTTATTCCAGAAATTGCGATTTTTGGAAAAAAATCTATTTTGTACAATTTTTCGTTTTCGCAGTTTCTCGACTTTTCGAGTCTCGATTTCCCGATTTGTCGATATTTTAGTTTTGAGATTTTTAAGTTTTTTTATCTTCAATTTCTCGATTGATCGATTTTTTGACTTTTAGAATTTTTTATTTTTTGTGTTTCTCATTTTTCGATTTCTCGACTTTGCGATTTTTGAAGTTTCTGATTTTTCGATTTTTTGATTTTTCGACTTTTCTATTTTTCAGTTTTTAGATTCCTCAGTTTTTTAGATGTTTCAGTTTTGGGATTTTTCAATTTTTCGATTCTTTTTTCGATTTTTTCAATTTTACGTTTTTCAATTTGAAAAATTGACTTTTTAAAATTTTTTGATTTTTCAGTTTTTCCTTATTTTTCGATTACTCAATATTTCGATTCATTGATATTTTTAAAATTTCAATTTTTGGGCCACTTCGTTTTCTTGATTGTTCAACTTCTCGACTTTTCGATCTTTTGATGTTTCGATTTTTCAATGTTTCAATTTGTCAATGCTTCGAATTTTCGGATTTTTTATTTTTCCACTTTTGCGGTTTTTGATTTTTCAGTTTTTCAATTTCCAAATTTTTCAACTTTTCAGTTTTGGGATTTTCCAGTTTTTCGATTTTTTAAATTTTATATCTTCCAATTTCTCGTTTTGTGATTTTTAATTTTTTAAATTTTTTGATTTTTTAAATTTTACATTTTTTAATTGTACGATTTTTAAATCTTTTGAATTTTTCGATTTGTCAAAGTTTTTATTTCTGACTCTTCAATATTTCCATTCTGGATTTATCAATTTTTCGATTTTTTAAATGTTACATTTTTCGATTTATCGACTTCTCGATTTTTTAAATTTTCGATTTAACGTTTTTTTTGACGTTTCGATTGCTCGATCTTCGGTTTTTCGGATTTCGATTTTTCAGTTTTTGGATTTAAAAAATTCTTGACTTGTCGGTTCTTCAATTTTTCGGGTTTCTTATTTTTCAATTATTCGATTTTTTAAATGTTCGATTTTTTTCGATTTATCGATTTATCAATTTTTCGATATTTGAGTTTTGGGATTTTATTTTCGATTTCCGATTTTTCGTTTTTCTGGTTTTCCAGTGTTTAGATTCTTCAATTTTTCATTTGTTAAATTTTTCTATTTTTCAGTTTTTCGAAGGAGTTTAGTTTTCCGATTTTTGGATTTTTTAGACTTTACATTTTCAATTTTTTGATTTTTCGACATTTCAGTTTCTCAACTTTTGAATTTTTCGATGAAATTTTTCATTTTTAGTTTTTCGATTTCTCCTTTTTATCTTTCTGTTTTTTGATTTTTTAAAATTTGACATTTTTTGATTTTACGATTTTTTAATATAATACACATTTCAAATTTTAGATTTTCAAAACTTTGCATTTCTCAACATCTCGGTTTCTCGCTTTGGAAAAAATTTTCAATTTTAACGATTTATTGAGTTTTCGATTTCTCGATTTTTAGCATTTAAATTTTGGGATTTTTACTTCCCGAGCGTAAGCAAAGGAAGTATTGTAATCGAGTCCGTCGGCCGACTCTCTACTTTCTCGATCTTTCATGACCCCTAGAAGACGAAGAAATAGGTCTCCCATTTCCGTCTGTCTGTCCGTCTGTCCGTCTGTCCGTCTGTCCGTCCGTCTGTCCGTCCGTCTGTCCGTCTGCCGTCCCGGATTTTTATTAGACAGATAATCTCCGAAAGTACTCGACCGATTGTTGTGAAATTTTGTACTTATATTAAGAATATCATGTAGATGGTAAAACGCTAACCAAAATTTGTCTAATCATCCCCACCACTAATGCGATGACGTCACTTCAAAATTGTACATAGTAAATGGGTTTTCAATTGTATAAAATAACATAGTCCTACACATGTAGTTTACAACTCCGAATCGACTTTTCACCCGAAACGTCCAGATTTTTGGAAAAAAAATCAAAATTATAAAACAACATTTTGAAATTTAATTTTTAATCTGCTAACCAGAATGCTTTGAAATGTTGCAGATGTTTTAAGGCTATAAAGAGCATCATAAATCTTTAGTCAAAAAATATTTGCTTATCCCCTCCAAAAACTTGATGACGTCAGCTCAAAAGTTTGTGGAATAAATCATATCTAAAATGTACAAAATATGGTGAGTCTCTTCTTGTGATTTATCATTCCATTCAAATTTTTTCGATTTGCATATACAGGGTGACACAAAAAAATTAATGAATGCGTAAATTTATTTTATTGATTTAATCAGGAACTACAAAACCGAATGCTTTGAAATCTTGCAGATGTTGTAAGGTTATAAAGAGCATAATAAATTTTTAGTCAAAATATATTTGGTTATCTTCTACAAAAAACTGATGACGTTAGCTCAAAAGTTTGCCGAATAAATCGTATCTAAAATGTACAAAATATGATGAGTCTGTACTTGTGATTTATCATTCCATTCATATTTTTGGATTTGCATATGCAGGGTGACTCAAAAAAATTAATGAAGGCGTGAATTTATTTTATCGATTTAATCAGGAATTACAAAACCGAATGCTTTGAAATCTTGGGAATATTTTAAAGTTATTATAAGCATGGTAAACTTTTGTTCAAAATGTATTTGTTCATCCCTTCTAAAAAAATTGATGACGTCACCCTTAAATTTTGCTGAATAAATCCTATCTAAAATGCAAAAAATATGATGAGTTTGTACTTGTGATTTATCATTCCATTCATGTTTTTTAGATTTTCTTAAGAGGTGGTTCAAAAAAATTAATGAAGTCAATTTATTTTATTGATTAAATTAAAGGCAACACTTATTATTAGTATTACACCCAACCAACCCAATTTGGTAGACACAAAATTTGTTAAAGGAAAAACTCGGTTGAAACATAAGAGTAGCACGCTTATTTACATCGACTTTAACATTACAGACCTGCATTTGTTTTATGTGGTCACTTGGTTCCGCGAATGCGAAATAGACATGTTTATAATCAACCAATTGTGAATTTCACCGTCAAGAATTAAAATAAAACCCAATGTTTTATATAATAAGCGGAAGTCGAAGCAATAAAACCGATGGTCGTTTTGTTTACAGTTTCTTTGTTTGGCTCTCACGTATGCTGTTACGCTTGTCATCTTAAATTAAGAATGTTTATACATAAACGATTTTCAGTTGCCCCTCATATTACTAGACAGCGGATTTCTGTCGGGCTATGTCACGATTATAGGGGGGGACGTGCTGGATTCCATAAATATAATTAACGATTTATTAATCAAACGGCTAAGTAAATGAGAACGGGAATTAACAGCAGAGTGCAACGAAGCAACGTTATTCTAATCTCAAATAAACGAAGTGCAGTCCGCAACGGCAATGAATTCGCATCCCGTGCGAGCCGTACCGAGTTTGGCCTTGCCTAGCCCGACAGAAATGCGCTCTCTAGATATTACACACCGGTGCCGTATACGTGAGTAAATTGTTTCGTTATTTTATTGATTATAAGAAATCAATATTCAAAACGACCCAATTCATTTTCCCGAAAATTTGGGAACACAATAATTTTATTCTTAGTATTACACTACATCGATCCCAACTGATATACGTGTCCTTGCAAAAATGTTGATGACGTCATCACAATGTTTTTTTAAATTCCCACTACAAAAATGTAATGAGAAAAAAAAACATAATAGGCATGCAGTCGTCAAGTTTCCGACAGCGAGGGAAGTACTGTCTAAACTCTTTAGACCAATTTTTTTTGTCCTGGATTTTTCAGTTTTTCGATTTTTTAAAATTCAGGTCTTTCAATTTCTCTTTTTTTTATTCTTCAGTTTTTTTGTTTTTCGATTTTTTGAATTTTATCTTTCTTGATTTTACGATTTTTAAATTTTTTAATATTTGAATTTTTCGATTTTTCAAATTTCCTATTTTTGTGCATCTCGGTTTCTCAATTTTAAACATTTCTTAACTCTTGATTTTTCAATTTTTCGATTTAAAAAATTTTTGATTTTTTAGTTTTTCAATTTTTCGAGTTTCTTATTTCTCAATTATGTATTCGATTTTTTAAATTTTCAATTTTTTGATTTTTCAATTTTTTTCGATTTATGGATTTATCAATTTTTCAATATTTGATTTTGAGATTTTATTTTAGATTTCAGATTTTTTAATTTTCCGGTTTTTTTAAATTCACAAATTTCAATTTTTCAGTTTTTTAATTTTTCTATTTTCGAGAGTTTAGTTTTCCGATTTTTCGACTTTTCAACATTTCGATCTTTTTAAATCAAATTTAAATTTTCAATTTTTTTATTTTTCGACTTTTCCGCTTTTCGATTTCCCAGTTTTTCGACATTTCAGTTTTTCGATTAAATTTTTCATTTTTAGATTTTTCCGTTTCTTTTTTTGATGTTTGAGTTTTTTGATTTTTTAAAATCTTACATTTTTTGATTTTACGATTTTTGAACATTTCAATTTTTAGATTTTTCAAATTGAGAATTTCCCGATATCTCAGTTTATCGATTTGGAAAAAATTTTCGACTTTTCAATTTGTCAAGTATTTAAGCAATTTAAATTTTAGATTTTCAATTTTACGATTTTAGGTTATTTCGATTTTTCGACTTCTGGATGTTTTGATGTTTCGCTTAAATTGCTTAAATTTAAATTTTAGATTTTCAATTTTACGATTTTAGGTTATTTCGATTTTTCGACTTCTGGATGTTTTGATGTTTCGCTTTCACGATGTTTCAAACTTTTGATTTTTTCGACATTTCCGTTTCTCGATTACTCGATTTTTCGATAGTTCAGTTTTCGATGATTCTAAATTGACGATTTTTCGACTTTCAGAATTTTTGATTTTTTGTGTTTCTCATTTCTCGATGTCGACTTTTTTATATTTCGATGTCTCGAGTTTTCTATTTTTTAAGTTTCCGATTTTTCGATTTTTTATATTTTTGTTTTTTTGATTTTTCCATTTATCTATCTATATTTGATTTTTCGATTATCAACTTTTCGCCCTATTTGAGTTTTGGGATTTTTCAATTTTTCTATTCTTCAGTTTTTTGATATTTTAATTTTTCCATTTTTTAAATTTTAGATTTTTCGATTTTTCAAATTTTTGGTTTTTAGATTTTTCGATTTTTGAGTTTTTCAAGCGATTATTTAATATTTCGATTTATCGACCCTTTTAAAATTTAAATTTTAGGGCTATTTCGATTTTTCGATTTTTCGACTTCTCAATTTTACGATTATGTTGCGATTTTTCAATGCTTCGAATTTTCGGTTTTTGATTTTTCCACTTTTGCAGTTTTCGATTTTTCAGTTTTTTAAATTCCCCATTTTTCTACTTTTTAGTTTTCGGATTTATCAGTTTTTTGGCTTTTTAAATTTTAGATTTTTCGTTTTTTCAACTTGTGGATTTAAAAAATTTTTGATTTTTCGATTTATCAATTTTTCGTAATTTGAGTTTTGTGATTTTAGTTTAGTTTTTTCGATATTTCGTTTTTCTGTTTTTTCAGTGTTTCGATTTTTCAATTTTTCAGTTTTTAAATTTTTGTTTTTCAGTTTTCCGATTTTTCGATTTTTCAACATTTCGATTTTTTGATCTTTTTAAAATACAAATTTTCAGTTTTGAATTTTTCGATTTTGGGTTGTTTTCGATGTTTTAATGTTTCGATTTCTCGATGTTTCAGTTTTTTGATTTTTCGAATTTTTCACTTTTGGATTTCACTATTTTTCGAAATTTCACTTTCTCGATTTTTCAATTTTTCGATTATATTTTTCGATTTCTCGTTTTTTTTTTGATTTTTTAAATTTTGCATTTCTGGATATCTCGGTTTTCCGATTTGAAAATTTTTTTCGACTTTTCGATTTGTCAAGTTTTCGAGTTCTCGATTTTTAACATTTCAACTTTGGGAATTTTTCCATTCCTGGACTCTTCAGTTTTTCGATTTATAAATTACAGATTTTCAATTTTGAATTTTCCAGTTTTGATTTCTCGATGTTCCAATTTTTTGATTTTCTACTTTTCCGCTTTTCGAATTCCCCCCAATGTTTCGACATTTCAGTTTCTTGATTTTTAATTTTTCGATAAAAATTTTCAATTTTTCGATTTCTCGTCCTTTTTGATTTTTCAATTTTTTTGATTTTTTAAATTTTGCATTTCTGGATATCTCGGTTTTCCGATTTGAAAAATTTTTTCGACTTTTCGATTTGTCAAGTTTTCGAGTTCTCGATTTTTAACATTTCAACTTTGGGAATTTTTCCATTCCTGGACTCTTCAGTTTTTCGATTTATAAATTACAGATTTTCAATTTTGAATTTTCCAGTTTTGATTTCTCGATGTTCCAATTTTTTGATTTTCTACTTTTCCGCTTTTCGAATTCCCCCCAATGTTTCGACATTTCAGTTTCTTGATTTTTTAATTTTTCGATAAAAATTTTCAATTTTTCGATTTCTCGTCCTTTTTGATTTTTCAATTTTTTTGATTTTTTAAATTTTGCATTTCTCGATATCTCGGTTTTCCGATTTGAAAAATTTTTTCGACTTTTCGATTTGTCAAGTTTTCGAGTTCTCGATTTTTAGCATTTCAATTTTGGGAATTTTTCCATTCCTGGATTTTTCAGTTTTGCGATTTATAAATTACAAATTTTCAATTTTGAATTTTCCGGTTTTGATTTCTCGATGTTCCAATTTTTTGATTTTCTACTTTTCCGCTTTTCGAATTCCCAATGTTTCGACATTTCAGTTTCTTGATTTTTTAATTTTTCGATAAAAATTTTTAATTTTTAGATTTTTCGATTTCTCGTTCTTTATTGATTTTTCAGTTTTTTTGATTTTTTAAATTTTGCATTTCTCGATATCTCGGTTTTCCGATTTGAAAAATTTTTTCGACTTTTCGATTTGTCAAGTTTTCGAGTTCTCGATTTTTAACATTTCAATTTTGGGAATTTTTCCATTCCTGGATTTTTCAGTTTTGCGATTTATAAATTACAGATTTGATTTTCAATTTTGAATTTTCCAGTTTTGATTTCTCGATGTTCCAATTTTTTGATTTTCTACTTTTCCGCTTTTCGAATTCCCAATGTTTCGACATTTCAGTTTCTTGATTTTTTAATTTTTCGATAAAAATTTTCAATTTTTCGATTTCTCGTTCTTTTTTGATTTTTCAGTTTTTTGATTTTATAAATTTTGCATTTCTCGATATCTCGGTTTTCCGATTTGGTTTTTCTTTTTAGACGTTATCAGAAAACCAAAATGGCAAATTTGTTACAATTTTTCAAAGAAGCAGGATTGTTCCGCTGAAGAAAGTTCTGTCGAAATAACCTTCGACCAATTTTTTACTAGATAGGTCCTGACTTTTTTACCTTCTGTATTAATATTGTATGTTTTTTACTTTTTCATTTTTCTCCTTTACTCTTTATTATCTTACACATTTGGTACTCTCTCCTACCAGGACCGTTTTTGTTAAAATAGACACGTTTGAAAATAAGAAATAGGATATAACCTCAAAAATAAAAACATTTTATTTAAAAAAAATAAACTCCTTAATTACATGCTGTCAAACAAAGTAAACAAAATTCTGTACTAATTTTCTCTCTCGAAAAAGTATGTTTTTAGCTTCACTATCCGCAAACCCCATCAACAAAATAAAACCCCTTATCCCTATCCTCGCCTAAACCAAACTTCTTCAAATTTTGGAAATTTTTCAATTTTTCGATGTTTTAAATTTTATATTTTCAATTTTTAAATTTCCGATTTTGGGTTATTTCGATTTTTCGACTTCTCGATGTCATGTTTTGATGGTTCACTTTCTCGATGTTTAAAAATTTGATTTTTCGATTTCTCGTTTGTTTTTCATTTTTGAGTTTTTTGATTGTTTAAATATTTCATTTTTGATTTTACGATTTTTTAATATCATTTCAAGTTTTAGATTTTTCAGATTTTGCATTTTTCGACATCTCGGTTTATCGTTTTGAAAAAATTATTCGACTTTTTGTTTTGTCAAGTTTTCGATTTTAACATTTCAATTTTGGCAATTTTTCCATTCCTGGATTTATCAGTTGTTCGATTTTTTAAATTTGAATATTTTCAGTTTTCAATTTTTCAATGTTGGGTTATTTCGATTTTTCGACTTCTCGATGTTTTGATGTCCCGATTTCTCGATGTTTCATTTTTTTGATTTTACGTCTTTCCGCTTTTCGATTTCCCAATTTTTCGACATTTTAGTTTCTCGATTTTTCAGTTTTTTTGAAATTTTGCATTATTTGATTTTTAGTTTTTTTTTTAAATATTTTTTAGGTTTTTACTTTATAGAAGTTATAAATTGCAAATTTTTTATAATTTTTCAAAGACGCGGGAGTTGGGGTTCATTTTTCTCCTCTACTGTTTATTATTTATTATTGTCTTACACATATGGTACTCTCTCTGACCAGGACTGAATAGCAGTCCTCTTCATTATCCGTTTTTGTTAAATACACTTGAAAATAAGAAATAGGATATAACCTCAAAAATAAAAAACACTTTATTTGTAAAAAACAAACTCCTTAACTGCATGCCGTTCAAAAAAATAAACAAAATTCTCTACTGTTAATCTTCTCTGTCGAAAAAGTATGTTTTTGGCTTCACTATTCGCAAACCCCATCAACAAAATAAAACCCCTTATCCCTATCCTCGCCTAAACCAAACTTCTTCAAAACTTCACCCACATCCTTACAATCCGAATTCCAAATCTGCAACTTCATGAAATCATCAGTAGTTTCCCTAAAACACAAAATTCAAACAGACACTCGACTCCTAATAGCCACTCACAACACAAGAGCTCTAAAAATCTTCATCTTCATGGAAGAGTCAAAAAACAACTTCGCCAAGGTCGACGACACACTCCGTTTCTGTTGACAGTCGTGTAAAAGGCACTCCACCGCCTAAAAGAAAAAGAAAGCAAACAATCTCGACAAAGCTCAAACCTACTTGAAACGGCAAATATGTAAAGTCTTCTTTCATTTCTCTGAGGTCTTTGAGTCTCTTGGTGACCGTGTACCCAAAGTCCACTAAGAATATTTCAAAACGTGTATCTTCGGAGTAGTCGATGCAGCGTCCTCGGTACCACCGACCATCGTCTTTAACCAGAACCACCTCTCCAACTCCTGGAAATATTCTAAAAGTGTGGTAAGTTTGTACGGTTTTGGCAGAGTTCATGACTTCCGTGAGACGAGTCAGTTTGGCATCTGCAACACGGGTTTAGAGTGTGGTCTGACAGTACCAACTTACCCACTTCCATCGTCCAGAATTTGCGCGTAAAAGTGGCAGTTGTTGATGTAGCCGGTGACTAAAATTTCGAACATGTCTCCAACTGGAGGTAAAACGAACTGAGTTTTGGCCCGGTTAATTGTTAGAACTTTGTCGGTAGTGATGCCATCTCTTGACAATCTACGATGTTCAAGCCGGCAGTTTTCCCTTTTGAAACAACCGCCTGACCTATTGGTAAAACGGCAAATTCTAGCTTCATCTTTCGCGTCATAGCCAGCTACAACTTCGTTGATGTTGCATTCATCTAAATCATCTACATCTGAATCAAGACTGTCTTCTTTAAGATTGTCACTTGGAAGGGAAATTCTAGCATTGTCTTCTACTTCTAAATCAAGATTATCTTTTGGGGCTACTTTTTCCTCAAAAACGTAGTCCTGTTTGATTAGTATCTCCCCCAAGCTTTCCGCATTGGGGTCTTCCGTTTCCCTTAAATCAACAGCACACGAATTTCTATTTTTTGGTTGTTAACAGTTCTGCAGTCAATTACTGTTCCTCGTGTACATAGATGACTAGAAATTGTCTTCCTCGAGTCACGTCTGTCAAAAATTGTATGGTTGTTGCAGGCCATGGGTCATTTGTGGGCCAATATATACCAGCAAGGTGGCACAAAGTGGCCATTTTTGGAAACCGGGAGTACAACTCGTCAGCTATCCTCTTCAGTTTCGTGTAACTGTAGATGTATTTTTCGCCGTAATCCACCAACTGGATTAAAACTGTGTCCGGGTCATCCTCCTACAACTCAAAAGCTTATGTTTCAAGTCGGTACCTTTCAGTCTAGTACCATCCAGTCTAAAACTTCAACTCGGTACCACTTTCTCGTCTCCGACAAGTACCCCAAGCAAAAATTCCCCAGTTGCTCTTTTGCTTCCGCTTTCGACTTGAAGTTGTTCCCCACGTACTGATAATGTTTGTTTAAAAGGTCGTTAATATGTACCTCAAAACTAACAACCCGGTAAGGTCACTCTACACCCTGTGGTACCTACCTTTCGAAGGTTGGGTTAGTCCGGACGTAGAACTCCAACGGTGACACGATATGGCAAACATTACAAAGTTCACCTACCTTGAGAGAGTCCGCTGCGATTTCTGGAAGATTAAGGTACAAAATTGACATTCTGTGGCAAGAACTCACCGTATTTTGGTTTGGGTTTGGTTGGGTTGGGTTTGGGTACTGGGCACTTATTTTTGACGCTCCAAGTCAGCGTGGTCTTTAATTTCGGGTCGACGATTTCGGATTTCCTGTCACGACGACGCTTTTTCAAAAAATTAGACCTGTGGTAACTAGCAGTGGGTTTTTGGGTTTTGGATTCCCGGTCATGCGCGGGCGCTTGTTATCTGAGAGTGTCGGGTTTAGTAGTTAGAGTTGGTTCCTTGTGGCCATCGTTTTTTAATATTTCAATTGTTAGATTTTCCAAATTTTGCATTTTTCGACATCTCGGTTTCTCGTTTTGAAAAAATTTTTCAATTTTTAAGATTTGCTAAGTTTTCCATTCCTGCATTTTTCAGCTTTTCGATTTTTTAAATTTTAGATTTTTCAATTTCTAGTTTTTTTGATGTTTCAGTTCTTCGATTTTTTAAATTTTACCTTTTTTGAGTTTACGATTTTAAAACTTTTTACAATTTAAATTTTTCAACCTTCAGTTTTTCAACATTTCAATTTTGGCAATGTTTCCATTTCTGGATTCTTCAACTTTTCGATTTGTTGAATATTAAGATTTTTGGTTTATCGATTTCTCGATATTTGAAATATTAGATTTTTGTTTTTTTTTGATGTTTGGATTGCTCTATCTTCGGATTTTGATTTTTCAATTTTTCGATTTTTCAATTTTTTGAGTTTCTTATTTTTCAGTTATTCGTTTTTTTGAATTTTCAATTTTTTCGATTTATGGATTTATCAATTTTTCAATATTTGACTTTTGGGAATTTATCTTAGATTTCCGATTTTCTTAAATTCACATTTTTCAATTTGTCAGTTTTAAAATTTTTCCATTTTTCAGTATTTCGAAAAAGTTTAGTTTTTTGATTTTTCAACATTTCGATTTTTCGATGTTATTAGAATTTCAATTTTCGATTTTTCCGCTTTTCGATATCCCATTTTTTTGACATTTCAGTTTCTCGATATTTCAATTTTTCGATTAAATTTTTTAATTTTTCGATTAAATTTTTTAATTTTTTGATTTTTAAAATTTTAAATTTTTTGATTTTACGATTTTTCAATACATATTTCAATTTTTGATTTTTCAAATTTTGCATTTCTCGACATCTCGGTTTCCCGATTTGAGGAAATTTTTCGATTTTTACGATTTGTCAAGATTTCAATTTCTCGATTTTTAACATCACGAATTTTGGCAATTTTTCCAGGCGTGGATTTTTCAGTTTTTCGATTTTTTTAATTTTAGAATTTCAATTTTTGATTTTCCGACTTCTCCATGTTTTGATGTTTCAGTTTCTCCACGTTTTAAAATTTTGATTTTTCGATGTTTCGGCTTTTCGATTTCCGAATTTTTTGACTTTTTAATTTTTCGATTAAATTTTTCACTTTTAGATTTTTCGATTTCTCATTTTTTTTATTTTTGAGTTTTTCAAATTTTGCATCTCGGCATTTCGGTTTCTCGATTTGAAAAAATGTTTCGACTTTTGGATTTGTCAAGCTTTCGACTTCTTGATTTTAAACATTTCAATTTTGGAATTTTTGCTTTCCAGGATTTTTCAGTTTTTCGATTTTATAAATTTTAGATTTTCAATTCTTAATTTTCCGATTTTGGGTTATTTCGATTTTTCGACTTCTCGATGTTTTGATGTTTCACTTTCTCCTTGTTTGAAAATTTAGATTTTTCGATGTTTCCGCTTTTCGATTTCCCAATTTTTTGACTTTTGTTTTTCGATTAAATTTTTCATTTCTTGGTGGTTTAAATATTTCATTTGTTGATCTTACGATTTATTATTATGTACTATTTCAATTTTTCGATTTCAAGTTTTTTTTGATTTCTCGGTTTTTTGATTGTTTAAAAATTTCATTTTTTGATTTTAGGATTTTTGAATTTCTCAATTTTTAGATTTTTCAAATTGTGCATTTCTCGACATCTCGGTTTCTCAATTTGAAAACATTTTTCGATTTTTACAATTCCTCAAGTTTTAGATTTCTCGATTTTTATTTAGCATTTCAATTTTGGAAATTTTTAAATTTTTCGATATTTTAAATTTTATATTTTCAATTTTTAATTTTCCGATTTTGGGTTATTTCGATTTTTCGACTTCTCGATGTCATGTTTTGATGGTTCACTTTCTCGATGTTTAAAAATTTGATTTTTCGATTTCTCGTTTGTTTTTCATTTTTGAGTTTTTTGATTGTTTAAATATTTCATTTCTGATTTTACGATTTTTTAATATCATTTCAAGTTTTAGATTTTTCAGATTTTGCATTTTTCGACATCTCGGTTTATCGTTTTGAAAAAATTATTCGACTTTTTGTTTTGTCAAGTTTTCGATTTTAACATTTCAATTTTGGCAATTTTTCCATTCCTGGATTTATCAGTTGTTCGATTTTTTAAATTTGAATATTTTCAGTTTTCAATTTTTCAATGTTGGGTTATTTCGATTTTTCGACTTCTTGATGTTTTGATGTCCCGATTTCTCGATGTTTCATTTTTTTGATTTTTCGTCTTTCCGTTTTTCGATTTCCCAATTTTTCGACATTTTAGTTTCTCGATTTTTCAGTTTTTTTGAAATTTTACATTATTTGATTTTTAGTTTTTTTTTTTAATATTTTTTAGGTTTTTACTTTATAGAAGTTATAAATTGCAAATTTTTTATAATTTTTCAAAGACGCGGGAGTTGGGGTTCATTTTTCTCCTCTACTCTTTATTATTTATTATTGTTTTACACATATGCTACTCTCTCTGACCAGGACTAAATAGCAGTCCTTTCATTATCCGTTTTTGTTAAATACACTTGAAAATAAGAAATAGGATATAACCTCAAAAATAAAAAACACTTTATTTGTAAAAAATAAACTCCTTAACTGCATGCCGTTCAAAAAAATAAACAAAATTCTCTACTGTTAATCTTCTCTGTCGAAAAAGTATATTTTTGGCTTCACTATTCGCAAACCCAATCAACAAAATAAAACCCCTCATCCCTATTCTCTCCTAAACCAAACTTCTTCAAAACTTCACCCACATCCTTACAATCCGAATTCCAAATCTGCAACTTCATGAAATCATCAGTAGTTCCCCTAAAACACAAAATTCAAACTGACACTCGACTCCTAATAGCCACTCACAACACAAGAGCTCTAAAAATCTTCATCTTCATGGAAGACTCAAAAAACAACTTCGCCAAGGTCGACGACACACTCCGTATTTGTTGACAGTTGTGTAAAACGCACTCCACCGCCTAAAAGAAACAGAAAGCAAACAATCTCGACAAAGCCCAAATCTACTTGAAACGGCAAATATGTAAAGTCTTCTTTCATTTCTCTGAGGTCTTTGAGTCTCTTGGTGACCGTGTACCCAAAGTCCACTAAGAATATTTCAAAACGTGTGTCTTCGGAGTAGTCGATGCAGCGTCCTCGGTACCACTGACCATCGTCTTTAACCAGAACCACCTCTCCAACTCCTGGAAATATTCTAAAAGTGTGGTAAGTTTGTACGGTTTTGGCAGAGTTCATGACTTCCGTGAGACGACTCAGTTTGGCATCTGCAACCCGGATTTAGAGTGTGGTGTGAAAGTACCAACTTACCCACTTCCATTGTCCAGAATTTGCGCGTAAAAGTGGCAGGTGTTGATGTAGCCGGTGACTAAAATTTCGAACATGTCTCCAACTGGAGGTAAAACGAACTGAGTTTTGGCCCGGTTAAATGTTAGAACTTTGTCGGTAGTGATGCCATCTCTTGACAGCCTACCATGTTCAAGCCGGCAGTTTTCCCTTTTGAAACAACCGCCTGACCTATTGGTAAAAGGGCAAATTCTAGCTTCATCTTTCGCGTCATAGCCAGCTACAACTTCGTTGATGTTGCATTCATCTAAATCATCTACATCTGAATCAAGACTGTCTTCTTTAAGATTGTCACTTGGAAGGGAAATTCGAGCCTTGTCTTCTGCATCTAAATCAAGATCATCCTTTGGGGCTAGATTTTCTTCAAAAACGTAGTCCTGTTTGATTAGTATCTCCCCCAAGCTTTCCGCATTGGGGTCTTCCGTTTCCCTTAAATCAACAGCACACGAATTTCTATTTTTTGGTTGTTAACAGTTCTGCAATCAATTACCGTTCCTCGTGTACATAGATGGCCAGAAATTGTCTTCCTCGAGTCATCTCTGTCAAAAATTGTATGGTTGTTGCAGGCCATGGGTCATCTGTGGGCCAATATATACCAGCAAGGTGGCACAAAGTGGCCATTTTTGGAAACCGGGAGTACAACTCGTCAGCTATTCTCTTCAGTTTCGTGTAACTGTAGATGTATTTGTCGCCGTAATCCACCAACTGAATTAAAACTGTGTCTGGATCATCCTCCTACAACTCAAAAGCTTATGTTTCAAGTCGGTACCTTTCAGTCTAGTACCATCCAGTCTAAAACTTCAACTCGGTACCACTTTCTCGTCTCCGACAAGTACCCCAAGCAAAAATTCCCCAGTTGCTCTTTTGCTTCCGCTTTCGACTTGAAGTTGTTCCCCACGTACTGATAATGTTTGTTTAAAAGGTCGTTAATATGTACCTCAAAACTAACAACCCGGTAAGATCACTCTACACCCTGTGGTACCTACCTTTCGAAGGTTGGGTTAGTCCGGACGTAGAACTCCAACGGTGACACGATATGGCAAACATTACAAAGTTCACCTACCTTGAGAGAGTCCGCTGCGATTTCTGGAAGATTAAGGTTCAAAATTGACATTCTGTGGCAAGAACTCACCGTATTTTGGTTTGGGTTTGGTTGGGTTGGGTTTGGGTACTGGGCACTTATTTTTGACGCTCCAAGTCAGCGTGGTCTTTAATTTCGGGTCGACGATTTCGGATTTCCTGTCACGACGACGCTTTTTCAAAAAATTAGACCTGTGGTAACTAGCAGTGGGTTTTTGGGTTTTGGATTCCCGGTCATGCGCGGGCGCTTGTTATCTGAGAGTGTCGGGTTTAGTAGTTAGAGTTGGTTCCTTGTGGCCATCGTTTTTTAATATTTCAATTGTTAGATTTTCCAAATTTTGCATTTTTCGACATCTCGGTTTCTCGTTTTGAAAAAATTTTTCAATTTTTATGATTTGCTAAGTTTTCCATTCCTGCATTTTTCAGCTTTTCGATTTTTTAAATTTTAGATTTTTCAATTTCTAGTTTTTTTGATGTTTCAGTTCTTCGATTTTTTAAATTTTACCTTTTTTGAGTTTACGATTTTAAAACTTTTTACAATTTAAATTTTTCAACCTTCAGTTTTTCAACATTTCAATTTTGGCAATGTTTCCATTTCTGGATTCTTCAACTTTTCGATTTGTTGAATATTAAGATTTTTGGTTTATCGATTTCTCGATATTTGAAATATTAGATTTTTGTTTTTTTTTGATGTTTGGATTGCTCTATCTTCGGATTTTGATTTTTCAATTTTTCGATTTTTCAATTTTTTGAGTTTCTTATTTTTAAGTTATTCGTTTTTTTGAATTTTCAATTTTTTCGATTTATGGATTTATCAATTTTTCAATATTTGACTTTTGGGAATTTATCTTAGATTTCCGATTTTCTTAAATTCACATTTTTCAATTTGTCAGTTTTAAAATTTTTCCATTTTTCAGTATTTCGAAAAAGTTTAGTTTTTTGATTTTTCAACATTTCGATTTTTCGATGTTATTAGAATTTCAATTTTCGATTTTTCCGCTTTTCGATATCCCATTTTTTTGACATTTCAGTTTCTCGATATTTCAATTTTTCGATTAAATTTTTTAATTTTTTGATTTTTAAAATTTTACATTTTTTGATTTTACGATTTTTCAATACATATTTCAATTTTTGATTTTTCAAATTTTGCATTTCTCGACATCTCGGTTTCCCGATTTGAGGAAATTTTTCGATTTTTACGATTTGTCAAGATTTCAATTTCTCGATTTTTAACATCACGAATTTTGGCAATTTTTCCAGGCGTGGATTTTTCAGTTTTTCGATTTTTTTAATTTTAGAATTTCAATTTTTGATTTTCCGACTTCTCCATGTTTTGATGTTTCAGTTTCTGCACGTTTTAAAATTTTGATTTTTCGATGTTTCCGCTTTTCGATTTCCCAATTTTTTGACTTTTTAATTTTTCGATTAAATTTTTCACTTTTAGATTTTTCGATTTCTCATTTTTTTTATTTTTGAGTTTTTCAAATTTTGTATCTCGGCATCTCGGTTTCTCGATTTGAAAAAATGTTTCGACTTTTCGATTTGTCAAGCTTTCGATTTCTCGATTTTAAATATTTCAATTTTGGGAATTTTTGCTTTCCTGGATTTTTCAGTTTTTCGATTTTATAAATTTTTGATTTTTAATTCTTAATTTTCCGATTTTGGGTTACTTCGATTTTTCGAATTCTCGATATTTTGATGTTTCACTTTTTCCTTGTTTGAAAATTTAGATTTTTCGATGTTTCCGCTTTTCGATTTCCCAATTTTTCGACTTTTCTGTTTTTCGATTAAATTTTTCATTTTTTGGTGGTATAAATATTTCATTTGTTGATCTTAGGATTTATTACTATGTACTATTTCAATTTTTCGATTTCAATTTTTTTTTTATTTCTCGGTTTTTTGATTGTTTAAAAATTTCATTTTTTGATTTTACGATTTTTGAATATCTCAATTTTTAGATTTTTCAAATTGTGCATTTCTCGACATCTCGGTTTCTCAATTTGAAAAAAATTTTCGATTTTTACAATTCCTCAAGTTTTAGATTTCTCGATTTTTAGCATTTCAATTTTTCGATGTTTTAAATTTCATATTTTCAATTTTTAATTTTCCGATTTTGGGTTATTTCGATTTTGGGTTATTTCGATTTTTCGACTTCTCGATGTCATGTTTTGATGGTTGACTTTCTCGATGTTTAAAAATTTGATTTTTCGATTTCTCGTTTGTTTTTCATTTTTGAGTTTTTTGATTGTTTAAATATTTAATTTTTGATTTTACGATTTTTTAATATCATTTCAAGTTTTAGATTTTTCAGATTTTGCATTTTTCGACATCTCGGTTTATCGTTTTGAAAAAATTATTCGACTTTTTGTTTTGTCAAGTTTTCGATTTTAACATTTCAATTTTGGCAATTTTTCCATTCCTGGATTTATCACTTGTTCGATTTTTCAAATTTGAATATTTTCAGTTTTGAATTTTCCAATGTTGGGTTATTTCGATTTTTCGACTTCTCGATATTTCATTTTTTTGATTTTTCGTCTTTCCGCTTTTCGATTTCCCAATTTTTCGACATTTTAATTTCTCGATTTTTCAGTTTTTTTGAAATTTTACATTATTTAATTTTTAGTTTTTTTTTAATATTTTTTAGGTTTTTACTTTATAGAAGTTATAAATTGCAAATTTTTTATAATTTTTCAAAGACGCGGGAGTTGGGGTTAATTTTTCTCCTCTACTCTTTATTATTTATTATTGTCTTACACATATGGTACTCTCTCTGACCAGGACTGAATAGCAGTCATTTCATTATCCGTTTTTGTTAAATACACTTGAAAATAAGAAATAGGATATAACCTCAAAAATAAAAAACACTTTATTTGTAAAAAACAAACTCCTTAACTGCATGCCGTTCAAAAAAATAAACAAAATTCTCTACTGTTAATCTTCTCTGTCGAAAAAGTATGTTTTTGGCTTCACTATTCGCAAACCCCATCAACAAAATAAAACCCCTTATCCCTATCCTCGCCTAAACCAAACTTCTTCAAAACTTCACCCACATCCTTACAATCCGAATTCCAAATCTGCAACCTCATGAAATCATCAGTAGTTCCCCTAAAACACAAAACTCAAACAGACACTCGACTCCTAATAGCCACTCACAACACAAGAGCTCTAAAAATCTTCATCTTCATGGAAGAATCAAAAAACACCTTCGCCAAGGTCGACGACACACTCCGTTTTTGTTGACAGTTGTGTAAAACGCACTCCACCGCCTAAAAGAAAAAGAAAGCAAACAATCTCGACAAAGCCCAAATCTACTTGAAACGGCAAATATGTAAAGTCTTCTTTCATTTCTCTGAGGTCTTTGAGTCTCTTGGTGACCGTGTACCCAAAGTCCACTAAGAATATTTCAAAACGAGTGTCTTCAGAGTAGTCGATGCAGCGTCCTCGGTACCACTGACCATCGTCTTTAACCAGAACGACCTCTCCAACTCCTGGAAATATTCTAAAAGTGTGGTAAGTTTGTACGCTTTTGGCAGAGTTCATGACTTCCGTGAGACGAGTCAATTTGGCATCTGCAACCGGGGTTTAGAGTGTGGTCTGAAAGTACCAACTTACCCACTTCCATTGTCCAGAATTTGCGCGTAAAAGTGGCAGGTGTTGATGTAGCCGGTGACTAAAATTTCGAACATGTCTCCAATTGGAGGTAAAACGAACTCAGTTTTGGCCCGGTTAATTGTTAGAACTTTGTCGGTAGTGATGCCATCTCTTGGCAATCTACCATGTTCAAGCCGGCAGTTTTCCCTTTTGAAACAACCGCCTGACCTATTGGTAAAACGGCAAATTCTAGCTTCATCTTTCGCGTCATAGCCAGCTACAACTTCGTTGATGTTGCATTCATCTAAATCATCTACATCTGAATCAAGACTGTCTTCTTTAAGATTGTCACTTGGAAGGGAAATTCTAGCCCTGTCTTCTACATCTGAATCAAGATCATCCTTTGGGGCTACTTTTTCTTCAAAAACGTAGTCTTGTTTGATTAGTATCTCCCCCAAGCTTTCCGCATTGGGGTCTTCCGTTTCCCTTAAATCAACAGCACACGAATTTCTATTTTTTGGGTGTTAATAGTTCTGCAGTCAATTACCGTTCCTCGTGTACATAGATGACCAGAAATTGTCTTCCTCGAGTCACATCTGCCAAAAATTGTATGGTTGTTGCAGGCCATGGGTCATTTGTGGGCCAATATATACCAGCAAGGTGGCACAAAGTGGCCATTTTCGGAAACCGGGAGTACAACTCGCGTTAATATGTACCTCAAAACTAACAACCCGGTAAGGTCAATCTACACCCTGTGGTACCTACCTTTCGAAGTTTGGGTTAGTCCGGACGTAGAACTCCAACGGTGACACAACATGGCAAACAGTACAAAGTTCACCTATCTTTAGAGAGTCCGCTGCGATTTCTGGAAGATTAAGGTACAAAATTGACATTCTGTGGCAAGAACTCACCATAATTTGGTTTGGGTTTGGTTGGTTTGGGTACTGGGCACTTATTTTTGACACTCCAAGTCAGCGTGGTCTTTAATTTCGGGTCGACGATTTCGGATTTCCTGTCATGACGACGCTTTTTCAAACAATTAGATCTGTGGTAACTAGCAGTAGGTTTTTGGGTTTTGGCTTCCCGGTCATGCGCGGGCGGTTGTTTTCTGAGAGTGTCGGGTTTAGTAGTTAGATTTGGTTCCTTGTGGCCATCGTTTTTTAATATTTCAATTGTTAGATTTTCCAAATTTTGCATTTTTCGACATCTCGGTCTCTCGTTTTGAAAATTTTTTTCAATTTTTAAGATTTGCCAAGTTTTCCATTCCTGCATTTTTCAGTTTTTCGATTTTTTAATTTCTAGTTTTTTTGATGTTTCAGTTTTTCGATTTTTTAAATTTTACCTTTTTTGATTTTACGATTTTAAAACTTTTTAATATTTAAATTATTCAACCTTCAATTTTTCAACATTTCAATTTTGGCAATGTTTCCATTTCTGGATTCTTCAACTTTTCGATTTGTTTAATGTTAAGATTTTTTCGTTTACCGATTTCTCGATATTTAAAATATTAGATTTTTGGTTTTTTTGATGTTGTATCTTCGGATTTTGATTTTTCAATTTTTCGATTTAAAAAATTTTTGATTTTTCGATTTTTCAATTTTTTGAGTTTCTTATTTTTCAGTTATTCGTTTTTTTGAATTTTCAATTTTTTCGATTTATGGATTTATCAATTTTTCAATATTTGACTTTTGGGAATTTATTTTAGATTTCCGATTTTCTTAAATTCACATTTTTCAATTTGTCAGTTTTAAAATTTTTCCATTTTTCAGTATTTCGAAAAAGTTTAGTTTTTCGATTTTTCAACATTTCGATTTTTCGATGTTATTAGAACTGCAATTTTCGATTTTTCCGCTTTTCGATATCCCATTTTTTTGACATTTCAGTTTCTCGATATTTCAATTTTTCGATTAAATTTTTTAATTTTTAAAATTTTACATTTTTTGATTTTACGATTTTTCAATACATATTTCAATTTTTGATTTTTCAAATTTTGCATTTCTCGACATCTCGGTTTCCCGATTTGAGAAAATTTTTCGATTTTTACGATTTGTCAAGATTTCAATTTCTCGATTTTAAACATCACGAATTTTGGCGATTTTTGCAGGCCTGGATTTTTCAGTTTTTCGATTTTTTTAATTTTAGAATTTCAATTTTTGATTTTCCGACTTCTCCATGTTTTGATGTTTCACTTTCTCCACGTTTTAAAATTTTGATTTTTCGATGTTTTCGCTTTTCGATTTCCCAATTTTTTGACTTTTTAATTTTTCGATTAAATTTTTCATTTTTAGATTTTTCGATTTCTCATTTTTTTTATTTTTGAGTTTTTCAAATTTTGCTCGGTATCTCGGTTTCTCGATTTGAAAAAATGTTTCGACTTTTGGATTTGTCAAGCTTTCGACTTCTCGATTTTAAACATTTCACTTTTGGGAATTTTTGCTTTCCTGGATTTTTCAGTTTTTCGATTTTTTAAATTTTAGATTTTTCAATTTCTAGTTTTTTTGATGTTTCAGTTTTTCGACTTTTTAAATTTTACCTTTTTTGATTTTACGATTTTAAAACTTTTTAATATTTAAATTTTTCAACCTTCAATTTTTCAACATTTCAATTTTGGCAATGTTTCCATTTCTGGATTCTTCAACTTTTCGATTTGTTTAATGTTAAGATTTTTTCGTTTACCGATTTCTCGATATTTAAAATATTAGATTTTTGTTTTTTTTGATGTTGTATCTTCGGATTTTGATTTTTCAATTTTTCGATTTAAAAAATTTTTGATTTTTCGATTTTTCAATTTTTTGAGTTTCTTATTTTTCAGTTATTCGTTTTTTTGAATTTTCAATTTTTTCGATTTATGGATTTATCAATTTTTCAATATTTGACTTTTGGGAATTTATCTTAGATTTCCGATTTTCTTAAATTCACATTTTTCAATTTGTCAGTTTTAAAATTTTTCCATTTTTCAGTATTTCGAAAAAGTTTAGTTTTTCGATTTTTCGATGTTATTAGAACTGCAATTTTCGATTTTTCCGCTTTTCGATATCCCATTTTTTTGACATTTCAGTTTCTCGATATTTCAATTTTTCGATTAAATTTTTTAATTTTTTTATTTTTAAAATTTTATATTTTTTGATTTTACGATTTTTCAATACATATTTCAATTTTTGATTTTTCAAATTTTGTATTTCTCGACATCTCGGTTTCCCGAATTGAGAAAATTTTTCGATTTTTATGATTTGTCAAGATTTCAATTTCTCGATTTTTAACATCACGAATTTTGGCAATTTTTCCAGGCCTGGATTTTTCAGTTTTTCGATTTTTTTAATTTTAGAATTTCAATTTTTGATTTTCCGACTTCTCCATATTTTGATGTTTCACTTTCTCCACGTTTTAAAATTTTGATTTTTCGATGTTTACGCTTTTCGATTTCCCAATTTTTTGACTTTTTAATTTTTCAATTAAATTTTTCATTTTTAGATTTTTCGATTTCTCATTTTTTTTATTTTTGTGTTTTTCAAATTTTGTATCTCGGTATCGCGATTTGAAAAAATGTTTCGACTTTTGGATTTGTCAAGCTTTCGACTTCTCGATTTTAAACATTTCAATTTTGGGAATTTTTGCTTTCCTGGATTTTTCAGTTTTTCGATTTTATAAATTTTAGATTTTCAATTCTTAATTTTCCCATTTTGGGTTATTTCGATTTTTCGACTTCTCGATGTTTTGATGTTTCACTTTCTCCTTGTTTGAAAATTTAGATTTTTCGATGTTTCCGCTTTTCGATTTCCCAGTTTTTCGACTTTTCTGTTTTTCGATTAAATTTTTAATTTTTTGGTGGTTTAAATATTTCATTTGTTGATCTTACCATTTATTACTATGTACTATTTCAATTTTTCGATTTCAAGTTTTTCTTGATTTCTCGGTTTTTTGATTGTTTAAAAATTTCATTTTTTGATTTTACGATTTTTGAATATCTCAATTTTTAGATTTTTCAAATTGTGCATTTCTCGACATCTCGGTTTCTCAATTTGAAAAATTTTTTCGATTTTTACAATTCCTCAAGTTTTAGATTTCTCGATTTTTAGCATTTCAATTTTGGAAAATTTTCAATTTTTCGATGTTTTAAATCTTATATTTTCAATTTTTAATTTTCCGATTTTGGGTTATTTCGATTTTTCGACTTCTCGATGTCATGTTTTGATGGTTCACTTTCTCGATGTTTAAAAATTTGATTTTTCGATTTCTCGTTTGTTTTTCATTTTTGAGTTTTTTGATTGTTTAAATATTTCATTTTTGATTTTTGAAATTTTTGAAAAAATTATTCGACTTTTTGTTTTGTCAAGTTTTCGATTTTAACATTTCAATTTTGGCAATTTTTCCATTCCTGGATTTATCAGTTGTTCGATTTTTTAAATTTGAATATTTTCAGTTTTGAATTTTCCAATGTTTCATTTTTTTGATTTTTCGTCTTTCCGCTTTCCGATTTCCCAATTTTTCGACATTTCAGTTTCTCGATTTTTCAGTTTTCTTGAAATTTTACATTATTTGATTTTTAGTTTTTTTTTTAATAATTTTTAGGTTTTTACTTTATAGAAGTTATAAATTGCAAATTTTTTATAATTTTTCAAAGACGCGGGAGTTGGGGTTCATTTTTCTTCTCTACTCTTTATTATTTATTATTGTTTTACACATATGGTACTTTCTCTTACCAGGACTAAATAGCAGTCCTTTCATTATCCGTTTTTGTTAAATACACTTGAAAATAAGAAATAGGATATAACCTCAAAAATAAAAAACACTTTATTTGTAAAAAATAAACTCCTTAACTGCATGCCGTTCAAAAAAATAAACAAAATTCTCTACTGTTAATCTTCTCTGTTGAAAAAGTATATTTTTGGCTTCACTATCCGCAAACCCAATCAACAAAATAAAACCCCTCATCCCTATCCTCTCCTAAACCAAACTTCTTCAAAACTTCACCCATATCCTTACAATCCGAATTCCAAATCTGCAACTTCATGAAATCATCAGTAGTTCCCCTAAAACTCAAAATTCAAACAGACACTCGACTCCTAATGGCCACTCACAACACAAGAGCTCTAAAAATCTTCATCTTCATGGAAGAATCAAAAAACAACTTCGCCAAGGTCGACGACACACTCCGTTTTTGTTGACAGTTGTGTAAAACGCACTCCACCGCCTAAAAGAAACAGAAAGCAAACAATCTCGACAAAGCCCAAATCTACTTGAAACGGCAAATATGTAAAGTCTTTTTTCATTTCTCTGAGATCTTTGAGTCTCTTGGTGACCGTGTACCCAAAGTCCACTAAGAATATTTCAAAACGTGTGTCTTCGGAGTAGTCGATGCAGCGTCCTCGGTACCACTGACCATCGTCTTTAACCAGAACCACCTCTCCAACTCCTGGAAATATTCTAAAAGTGTGGTAAGTTTGTACGGTTTTGGCAGAGTTCATGACTTCCGTGAGACGAGTCAATTTGGCATCTGCAACCGGGGTTTAGAGTGTGGTCTGAAAGTACCAACTTACCCACTTCCATCGTCTAGAATTTGCGCGTAAAAGTGGCAGGTGTTGATGTAGCCGGTGACTAAAATTTCGAACATGTCTCCAATTGGAGGTAAAACGAACTCAGTTTTGGCCCGGTTAATTGTTAGAACTTTGTCGGTAGTGATGCCATCTCTTGACAATCTACCATGTTCAAGCCGGCAGTTTTCCCTTTTGAAACAACCGCCTGATCTATTGGTAAAACGGCAAATTCTAGCTTCATCTTTCGCGTCATAGCCAGCTACGACTTCGTTGATGTTGCATTCATCTAAATCATCTACATCTGAATCAAGACTGTCTTCTTTAAGATTGTCACTTGGAAGGGAAATTCGAGCCTTGTCTTCTACATCTAAATCAAGATCATCCTTCGGGGCTACTTTTTCTTCAAAAACGTAGTCCTGTTTGATTAGTATCTCCCCCAAGCTTTCCGCATTGGGGTCTTCCGTTTCCCTTAAATCAACAGCACACGAATTTCTATTTTTTGGTTGTTAACAGTTCTGCAATCAATTACCGTTCCTCGTGTACATAGATGGCCAGAAATTGTCTTCCTCGAGTCATCTCTGTCAAAAATTGTATGGTTGTTGCAGGCCATGGGTCATCTGTGGGCCAATATATACCAGCAAGGTGGCACAAAGTGGCCATTTTTGGAAACCGGGAGTACAACTCGTCAGCTATTCTCTTCAGTTTCGTGTAACTGTAGATGTATTTTTCGCCATAATCCACCAACTGGATTAAAACTGTGTCCGGGTCATCCTCCTACAACTCAAAAGCTTATGTTTCAAGTCGGTACCTTTCAGTCTAGTACCATCCAGTCTAAAACTTCAACCCGGTACCACTTTCTCGTCTCCAACAAGTACCCCAAGCAAAAATTCCCCAGTTGCTCTTTTGCTTCCGCTTTCGACTTGAAGTTGTTCCCGACATACTGATACTGTTTGTTTAAAAGGTCGTTAATATGTACCTCAAAACTAACAACCCGGTAATGTCAATCTACACCCTGTGGTACCTACCTTTCGAAGGTTGGGTTAGTTCGGACGTAGAACTCCAACGGTGACACAACATGGCAAACAGTACAAAGTTCACCTACCTTGAGAGAGTCCACTGCGATTTCTGGAAGATTAAGGTACAAAATTGACATTCTGTGGCAAGAACTCACCGTATTTTGGTTTGGGTTTGGTTGGTTTGGGTACTGGGCACTTATTTTTGACGCTCCAAGTCAGCGTGGTCTTTAATTTCGGGTCGACGATTTCGGATTTCCTGTCACGACGACGCTTTTTCAAAAAATTAGACCTGTAGTAACTAGCAGGTTTTTGGGTTTTGGGTTCCCGGTCATGCGCGGGCGCTTGTTTTCTGAGAGTGTCGGGTTCGGTAGTTAGAGTTGGTTCCTTGTGGACAGATTTTGAACGAGGTGGGACTGACTTTTTTGTCGTTTCTTTTTTCTTAGGAAGTTTGTTTGTTTGTCGACGAGGTGGCAGTTGAAGTGAAACTGGTTCGTCAGGCATTTTTTGCTTTTCCTCTGTTTGGGAATCTTGATACAGATTGAGTAATATCAGGGTGACTATGTTGTACAATGTTTTGCAATAATACAGAATATGAAGGCAGTTATGCATGATTTGATTCACTAATACTGATATTTTGGAGCACTGGTCGATCAGGGTAGCCGCTGGAGTGTTTTTCCGTGGTTTAGCCATTGCTTGAACTATCTACAATTACAAGTAAAGCAACACAGGAATACAAGATGGAGTACGATTTTATGATGATACAGAGGTTCGATATGTTGCTTTGCCGTTTTTTGAGATCATTTAGCAACATAGGAGTAATAAATATATGTTTAGGACTATTAGCACGTTCAGATAGAAGCACATTTGTGTTAAAAGAAAATGAAACGGACAACACTGACAGACTGATTTTGTGAATAAGTGAATAAAATGGTAAAATTTCGCTGCTACGCCACTGTTGGGTCAAAATTCCGCTACTCTATATTTATGTTCGGCTGCGTTTATTTAATCACTGTGTTCATAACACTCGCTATTAACTGAAATTGAGTTTATAAAATTTACTTAAAAAAACAATTAATTTACAACTAGGTTATGTAGGTACGAATTCCGGCTTACCTGCTGGTCAATTGCATGTAATGTATTTATTATGTCATTTTTGTAAGATTGGAAGAATTGATAAGAACAGGGAAGCGCACTCTCCATTGTCCTAAGTAATAACAATTGGATTTCTTGTGTATCACGTCTTGCACTAAACGTATTATTATTATTAATATTATTATTATTATTATACGGGTGTTAACAACACCTGGGATATGCAAAGATACAGTGCTGGCTCGTGGAGATCACTTGGACACAGCTATTTCTTATTATTAGTTTTTATAATTCTTTGTTTTTTGACGAGGCGGAATCGAGTATTATCGAAAGCGTTAAAAAGTTTTTGTGTTACTTTATTAAGTAAATTAATATTTCTTCATTATGCTTTGTGGTTGGAGTTTATGTTGGTAGGAAAAAAATATTCTTCCTCGCCTGTCAGATTTTGGGTTTGACGTTAGAATAACACAGTCACGTCTACTGCAAATCTGCGACGCTTTGTGTTGAAACTGAATGTATCCATCAAAATATCAGTAAGCTTACCGTCATATTTAAAGTCTAGTGATTTATTTGGTAACAAAATTAAAGTGCGTCACACATTTGAAGCCACCTTCATGCAGATTTATCTGAAAAGAACTATGGATAAATAAAAGCAGCATAATGTTGGATGCCTGTGCGTCATTCGTTGGGGATTTTTAAAACGTCAAATTTTCAAATGTCTGACAAAAAAGAGAAAATTATTAAGAAAATATTACCTTGAGTGACATAATGCTTGACACGATTACTAAATTGACCCTTGTTGGGTACGTACACAGGCAGAAGAAACGTCACACTTAGACCATCGATTAATGTAGTTGCGACATACAGGCTGATTTTGCAAAACCACTCTTATTGACATTGGAGTCCTCAATCGCCAAAGGCAAGCGCCAATAAAAAAATTATGATATTTACAATGAGAAAAAAAAAAGAGAAATTAAAATAATCGAAACCTTAAAAAATCGTAAAACCGAAACATTGAAAAATTGAAATATCGAAGAACTGAAAATTGAAAAATGAAACATCAGAAAATCGAAAAAAAGTAAAATTCAAAAATCTAAAATTTAAAAACCGAATAACGCAAAATCGAGAAATCGAAACCCCTCAAATTTAAAAAATCCGATTACTGAAAAATCGAAAAACCGAGAAATAGAAAAATCAAAAGATCAAAAGTCGAACAATTGAGAAACCGAAATAGGCCAAAATCGAAAAATCGAAAAGTTAAAAACTGAACAATTTATAAATTGAGAAACTGACAATCAGAATATCGAAAAATTCATATCTCGTTAAATCGAGATATCAAAGAACTTAAAAATTTGAAAAATTGAAAAATTAAGAGATTGAAAGATCAAAAGAACGAGAAATCGAAAAGTGATGAAGTCGAAAAATCGAAAAATAGAGAAATCGACTAACAGTTAAAACTTGAATAATTGGAAAAGCGGAAAAATCAAAAAACGAAAAAATGGAAAACTGGAAGAATTGAGAAACCGAAATAGGCCAAAATAAAAAATTGAAAAACTGAAAAATCGAAAATTTGAACAATCAAATCTCGATAAATCGGGAATGAAAAATTAACAAATCGAGAAATTGAAAAACAAAACATCTAAAACCAGGAAGTCGAAAAATCGAAAGATTAAGAAATATTGAAAAATTAAAATATTAAAAGATAGATTGAAAAATCTAAAATAAAAATCGAAAAAGTAAAAAGGAAGACACATCGAAAAATCCAGAAGTCAAAAATAGAAAAGCCGAAGAATTGAAATATTGAAAAACCCTAAAATCCTGAAAAATATCTAAAAACTGAAAAATCGAAAAATCAAAAAATTTAAGATTCGAAGAACAGGAAAATCGAAACACTCGAAAGTCAAGAAATGGGAAAATCAAAACATCGGTTAATTGAAAAATCGAAAAAGTGAGAGTTTATAAAAGTCAAATTTGAAAAATTAAAAAATCGAAAATTTGACAAAATAACAATTGAAAAACAGAAAATCTAAAACCGGGAAGCCGAAAAATCAAAAGATTCAGAAATCGAAACATTTGAAAAATTCGAAAACTTGAAAAATTGAAATATCGAAGAACTGAATTGAAAAATCGAGAAATCGAAAAATCTAACATTGTAAAAATCAAAAAATAGAAACATCGAAAAAATAAAAAAATCGACACATCGAAAAAGCCAGGAGTCAAAAATCGAAAAGTCGAAGAATCGAAATATTGAAAAATCTCAAAACTGAAACATCGAAAAACTGAAAAATGAAAGAAAAACTAAAAATGGGAAGCTAAATCGGCAATTCAAAACATTTAAAAATCAAAACATTTAAAACGACAATTGAAAACAGAAAATCTAAAACCAGGAAGTCAAATAATCGAAAGATTAAGCAATCGAAAAATTGAAAAATCGAAAAAGTAAAAAAATCGACACAACGAAAACTCCAGAAGCCAAAAATCGAAAAGTCGAAGAATCGAAATATTGAAAAATCGCAAAACTGAAATATCGAAAAACTGAAAAATGAAAGAAAAACTGAAAAATGGAAAACCTGAAAAATCCGAAAACTGAAATATCCAAAAACTGAGAACCTAAAAAGTTGAAAAATTGCGCAATCGAAAAATCTAAAAAGTGAACTCGAAAAATCGAAACCTTAAAAATCGAAAAAAATTGAAGAAAATCTCGAAAGTCAAGAAATGGGAAAATCAAAACATCGATTAATTGAAAAATCGAAAAATTAACAGTTTATAAATATCAAAATTGAAAAATTGAAAAATCGAAAAATTAACAGTTTATAAATATCAAAATTGAAAAATTGAAAAATCGAAAATTTGAAAAAACGACAATTGAAAAACAGAAAATCTAAAACCGAGAAGTCGAAAAATCGAATGCATTTGAAAAATTCGAAAACTTGAAAAACTGAAATATCGAAGAACTGAAATGAAAAATCGAGAAATCGAAAAATCTAAAATTTTAAATAGTGAAAAATTAAAATACCAAAAAATTGAGAAATCTAAAATTTAAAAATCGAAAAAGTAAAAAGTCGACATTATCGAAAAATCCAGAAGTCAAATTGAATAATCCCAGAACTGAAAAATGAAAGAAAAACTGACGAATCGAAAAACTGAAAAATCCCAAAACTGAAATATCGAAAACTGAGGATCCAAAGAATCGAAAAATCAAAAAAGTGAAGTCGAAATATCGAAACCTTAAGAAAAACTAAAAATTAAAAAATCAAAAACCTGCAAAATCGTAAGACCGAAAAATTGAATAACAAGTAAACTGAAAAATCCTCAAACTGAAATGTCCAAAAACTGAGAAATTAAAAAATTGAAAAATTGAGAAATCGAAAAATCAAAAAAGTGAAGTTGAAATATCGAAACTTTTAAAAAAATAGAAAAATTGAAAAACCAAAAAACCTGAAAAATCAATTAATTCAAAAATCGACCAATAAAGAGTTTATAAAAGTCAAACATTGAAAAATCGAAATATTTAAAAATCGTAAAATTGAAGAGAAAAACTGAAATCCGAGAAATTGAAAAATTGAGAAATTGTAAAATCCAAAAATTGAATAATAAATAGGAGTAAACTGAAAAATCCCCAAACTAAAATTTCGAATTTTAACCGGTTAGGATGTGTATCGGATCACGGATCATGGCTTGTAAATCAAATCGTTTCCGAACGTTTAGAGTCGACATTGGCCTGACTGCGCTCTGGGTCTGTAGATCAAACAAGTTCTCAGACGACGAACTGTAATTCGTGTGACCTGAATTAAAGTGAAGGAAACAGTAAGCAGCTTGTAATATTCTGGTCAATTTGTCGAAAAGGAAAACGCGTCGTTAAAAATATTATGACATTTTTTCTAGTTAATGTTATTCCTAGTTAGAAACAAACACTGTTGCCAACATAAGTCGAGGAGTCCTCAACCATCATTTAATTTATTAAACTATGACGCTTCTCTATGTTGTTTGCTTACACTGTCAAAAAATAGAGAAATGTGTGACCTCATTGTTTATAGTTGTCATTTTTACTAGATTCATTTTTAAGTGTCTTGTTGATATGTGTTCTGATTAATGACAATAAAGCTTCAACTACATTCAAATTTTTGACATAACGGTAAAGTATTGTCCGAAATTTATTGATTGGCCTAGTACATCACCACCTACTATTGCTTTGTGTTGGTAACATAGAATTTCCTTTATATATCTGGTAATTTTTGTACAGTGGCAGTGGCAGAATTAGAGACTGCTGATGACAACTCTGTCAAGTCAAAACAGAATTTTACGCAAGCGCCAAGAAATAAATTCAAATATGCCTCGCAAAAAAATGGTTCTCGTGTCAAGACTTGGGTTAATGAAAGTCTTCCAACTACAGACTTTGAAGTAAGAAAACCACTTTTAAAGATGTGACAAAACAAGTATTAACCTATTATCTGTTCAAAAATTAAAAGACCACTCAACCGGCAACGTAGCTTAATTAAGTTTCGTAATAAAACTGGTGTAATTTATACTTTCACAATTGGTAGTCATCACAAATGTCACTGTTAAATAACAAATAAAATAAACGTTAAAGGAACCAAATTTCGTGTGCATCAGAACGAGATTTAGTCTGCAGTAAATTCTGGCTGCTATTTTGGACAATTTGCCGTATTTTGGGAGCGTTCTGAAAATTTAAAGTTCAAATGTTACAATTTCATATTTGTGGTACCAACCACGACAAAATTCCCCAAAATTTTAAAAATTCGTCGTTTGAAGACCCGTTTTTCCATTTTGGGATGCGTGCTCTGAAATTACGCCTTATGAAATTTGTTTTTCAATATATTATTAATTTACTTTAAATTACATATTTACCTCTGTACGTTCTGGTTAATTTCTTAGGTAACATGGTGACGTTATCTTCACATGAAGAAATATACTTCAGTTACGTCATACTGATGGAATTAGATGGAATATTGACGTACTAATGACGTTCAAATGAAGGGTGAAACCAATGAATGTAATTTTTTTTTAAGTAGTTGTTAATGTTTTTATGCAAATTCAGTGAGTATTTTTTTAAATGGTGTAAAATGGAGAGAAAATATTGGATGTCCACGTAAAACTTAAACAGATGGGGAGAAAGCAATAAATGTCACAACGAAATCTAAAACTAATCCCACCCATCATCGCTTTTGAATGTAATTGTTTTTTTTTTATTCGATGAAGATTGAATTTTACTATGTCAAATGGCGAACTAGACTTACAAAAATTCAAAGTGGCCCCGCCCGCCCACCCGGTTTTCTTTTTGGTCACTCATTTTATTGGACGAAAAGTGCATTTTACATTGAACAACAGTGGAATCTAAACAAAAACCTACAACTAATCCCACCCACCTTCGGTTTTGAATTTCATTGTCTCATTTGATTCGATAGAAATTGAATTTTATTTTGTCATGTGATCGAATCTATTTATAAAAATTCAAAGTAGCCCCGCCCACCCACCCGATTTTCCTCTTGATTACTCATTTTATTGGACAAAAAGTGGGTTTTATGGTGATAAACATTGGAATCTAGACGAAAAGGTAAAACTAACCCCACCCACCTCTGCTTTTGGATGTCATTGGTTTTTTTTTATTAGATTGAAGACTGAGTGTCGAACAACGAACTAGACTTACAAAAATTCAAAGTGACGCCTCCCACCCACCCGGTTTTTCTCTTGATCACTATTGGACAAAAGGGGAATTTTATAGTGACAAAGAACGAAATCTAAATAAAAAACGTAAAACTGATCCCACCCACCACCGCTTTTGAATTTCCCTAGTTTTTTTGATTAAATGAAGACTGAGTTTTACGACATCAAGTGGCAAATTAGGCTTAAAATATTTAAAGTGTCCCCGCCCACCCACCCGGTTTTCTTTTTGGTCACTCATTTTCAATGACGTCGTTTAATAATGAATCATTGTGATATCCTGACGTCTTAGAAACGTTTTTAATGTCTATTGTATTTTACTACCTCTCGGTATTTTGGGACCCTTGGTTTTTAGAAAAAATGTGCACAAAAATAAAACACTGAAATAATGTCATTTTTTTATTGTTATTACAGTTTCGATCCGAAAATCTTGGGCACTATTTTTCTGTCATTAAAAAAAACACGATGTAGTCTATGCTTTATTGTCATAATGATTGACACTTAAAAAATAAATTTTGATATACATCATCATCCACATTTCAGTCTATGTCAAAATGACAAACATGGCAAATTTGGGGTACGTAAGTACGTAAAGCCTGTTTTAGAGCTTATGTCACTGGAATGACAGAACTGCCCAAGATTTTATGGCCGAAACTGTAAGTCAAATTTACTATAATTCGGTATAATCAACAATCAACTTTAAAATAAAATATATACCGGCTGAGTATTAACGATTGAAGCAATTTTTTGGGTTGCCAGTTCTGAATTATCGACAACAGTGTTAGCACGTTAGCTCTCTGTTGTCAATTTTGACATCACCGCACCCAAAAGCCAATGAAAATATGACAGCTATTGAATTGGTGCTGAAAATTTGAATTTGACATCAGGTGTGCTATCAACGCTATCATAAAATCACAGTATGGTTTTCTGTGATAAAATGTTAAATATGTAGCCAACCTTACAAAAAAAATCACAAATATTAATAATAGTCATTCGGTATTTATATGTAATTACATTCATTAATCAGTCAAATGAACACAGCTGCAAAAATAAAATTTTAACTCACAAAGAAAAAAAGAAGTCGTCAATAAAAAAATAACTGGATTGACAAGTTATTACGATGTTGTGGCGGCAAATTTAAATTGAAAAAAACTATATTTGGGTCATTTTGCGCTTGCCACGGGATTCCGGGTGTTCATTTCAGCTGAATGTAAAATCTCTTGAATTTTGATGACAAATACTGAGATACTTATTTACAGAAATCAGCAACTAAATAGGTAATTTGATCTATAATGAAATTTTAATATACAAAAATCAAATTTTAACATAAATAGTAGCTAAATGACAATTTTTTTAAGCTGCCAACTTAAAATGGAAGTAGACAAAACTAAACTGAAGTGGAATTACAATTAAACGCTTATTTATACCCTAAAACTCAGACTCCTCCCACTTCACCAGTGGCGTAGTGAGACGATTTCAATAATTCTCCACATTTTGTAAAAAAAAAAACAGAAAGTAATTGTACCCAGTTTAATGACTTTATCAGTTTATTTACATTACTATGTCAACTATTCTATCAAAGACAAATCATTCACAATTACAATTAGATACCGAATAAAAAGCTTTGTCTCTATCTTCCCCCAACCCCCACTGTTTCAAAACATGGCTCATGTCCATATCGTCGGCGTCAGACAGCTGCACTCTCAATACCTCTGAAGTACTTTCCCTAGAAAAAACCACAACTTCCACAGTCCAAACACCTTAACCATACTTACATCACACGACCTCTAAACGTCTTCATTTTCATAACACTGTCAAAGAACTTTCTTGAAAGCGTCCGCGACGCGTCTTTCTTCTCCTGACAGTTGTCCAAAACGCACTCAACTGCCTACAACCAAAGAAAAAATAACAACCCCAAATTAAAATTAAAATTCACCTGGAACGGCAAATACGTAAACTGCTCGTTCATAACCTTAAGCTCTTTAAGCTTTCTGATCACCATGTAGCCAATATCAACCAAAAATATCTCCACACACTCGTTATCGGTGTACCCCACGCAGCGCCCTCTATACCATTTTGAATCATTTTTAACCAAAACGATCTCCCCGATTCCTGGATAAATCTTAAATGATTCGTACGTTTGTACCACGTTGTTCGCCTGCATTGTGTCCATCAACCGGACGAACTTGTCGTCTGAAACACTCTCTAAGACATGAACTTCAATCAAAAACTAACTTACTGAAGACTTCACCACCTGAAGGGTCGTCTAAAATCTGGGCATAAAAATGACACGTGTCCACGTAGCCTGTTATTAATACGTTGATGATTTCTCCAGCTGGGGGTAAATCTAGCTGCGTTGTGGTCTGGTTTATGGCTAGTACTTTGTCAGTGGTGACGCCGTCTGACGCTAGGACACCGTGCTCGAGCGTACACGACGTCCCTTTAAAGCAACCGCCCGAGTTGTCGGTGAAGGGACAAATCCTGCTTTCATCTTGAGCGTCATATCCTGCCACAGCTTCGTTAATATTATCGAACTCTTCTTCCTCTTCAATCTTGAAATCGTGGTCTTGGGAGATCTTCACTTCCAACGCGTGGTAATTCTTCACCAACAGCTCTCCTAAGCTGTCCGCGTTCTTGTCTTTCGTCGTTCGGAGATCGACGGAGTACGAGTTCCTGCAATTTCAGGTCAGTTTTCAACATGGAATTAAGCCATGAGTCGAATTAGGTACCCTTCTCTGTGTACGAAAATCGTTACGAAGGGTGTCATCGGCCCCAGTTCGCTTATTTCCATGAAGTAGTCGATGCTAGCTTGTGGCCAGCTTTTCGTTCCGTCTAAATTCGGGGAGTAGATCCCTGCCAGGTGACATTTAACCGCCATTTTGGTAAAGAGGGCGTACAAGTCGGCCATGGGTTTTAGATGGGTGTAGTTCCAGTACATCTTCTCGCCGTAATCGATCAGTTGTACGAAAATTTTATCGATTTCGTGTTCCTAGAAATGCACGGTGAGGAATTGTGGTTCGACGCGGGCTAACTTTACCATCCAGTCGAGTACTTCGATTCGGTACCACCGGCGTCTGCTGGACATGAACCCGAAGCAGAAGTTGCCCAAGTTGCTTCTGGCTTCGGGTTTTGATTTGAATTTGTTTATGACGTATTGGTGCTGTTTGTTCATGTCTTCGTTGAATCGGTTTTCGAAACTAGAAGATGAAGTACTTAGAACTGAGGTTTTCATCATTAATTTCGAAGTACTTGTCATACAAACACATACATTGAACTTACCTTTCGAAAAGCGATTGGTCGGTGCGAACATAGAATTCAGACGGCGATTCAACATGACAGATTATGCATCTCTCATTAACCCTCAAGTTACTCTCTCCTATGTCTAAAAAACAACAGTAAACATATTGCCAACTTTCCGATGTTAATAAATACTAGAAATGATGTTTCTTCCTTTTGGTTTTTGATTTACATCAGTTGGTACGTGGTTAATTTGAGTCAACGTAGGCGCCCATTGCACCGTTTTCTTTAAGCTTTTGTTCTCCAATTTTTTGACAGTTTTTTGTCTCATACTTTCTTCAAAATTATCTACATGATTCTCTTGGTCTGGTGCCTCTTTGGGCGATTTTTCACCCTTTTTTGGTATTTCTGGTAAAACTTGAGGATGTGCGTCAGATTGAGATTCCTTTCGAGCTTTCGATTTTTTGACTGAAGACTGGGACTGAGATTCAAGTGTTAGTATGGTTTTTCCAATCGAAATGGGATTGTTTGTGGCTTGGCTTTTGGACGAGTTGTCGCTGATTTCTGGTGGTTCATTTTTTATGACTGAGATTATATTTTCATCCACATCTGTACTCTTAGTAGGTTTATTGGTATCTTCTGGTCCCGTAGGAATGCTGCCACCGACTCGTCTGTCAGAAGTTCCAGGACCATCGTGGGTTCGTGGTACCACTTTAGACTTCTTCAAGTGCGACCGTAGTTTGGCTTTCGGGCTTTTTCTGACTATCAACGAATCTTCATCTGACGATCTAACTGCATCAGAAGAATCCAGTCGTTCCCGTTTAATTCTACCAACTGTGCTTAATCCTTCTAATGAGGAAGACGTTACTTGTCCTCCACCAAAAGAAGTACTTGGGGTACTGTCCTGTCGCGGTGTTGTTTCTATTTTAATTAGACTAGAACTAGAAATTTCATCGTTATCATTTACGATAGATAACGTGAAAGGGTTTGTACTAGGTGCTTCTCTTTCAGGCTCAGCGAGGTTTTCTAGTTCCACTAGTTTAACTGATAAACCCTCGTACACGGTTTCGCAAGTGTGGAGCATTTTTACGTAGTGTTGTAAAGCGGAGACCATTTCCATTGAGATTGTAAATTTTTTCGAACATGCATCTCTTAACGTATTACTTTCGTGGGTAGTCACAGCCTGAAGCATCTATGGGTTAACAATATAGAATTATGTTATTTTACTGTTTTCGGTTTATGTAGGGCTTTCATTAATGTTTCGTACATCTAGTGACCTGATAGACATTTTTAAGTTTTAAATTTATTTGAGAAAACTGTAGGGAGTTTTTTTTCGATCATACGGTAGTTACACATTCCGAAATAGGTGGAATAAATCAGAAGAGCCCACTTGGATGTACCAATCATTTATGAAACTCCTGTATGAATAATATCGTATTTTTACTTCCCGAGCGTAAGCAAAGGAAGTATTGTAATCGAGTCCGTCGGCCGACTCTCTACTTTTACGTTTTCTCGATCTTTCATGACCCCTAGAAGACGAAGAAATAGGTCTCCTATTTCCGTCTGTCTGTCCGTCCGTCTGTCCGTCCGTCTGTCCGTCCGTCTGTCCGTCTGTTGTCCCGGATTTTATTAGACAGATAATCTCCGAAAGTACTCGACCGATTGTTGTGAAATTTTGTACTTATATTAAGAATATCATGTAGATGGTAAAACGCTAACCAAAATTTGTCTAATCATCCCCACCACTAATGCGATGACGTCACTTCAAAATTGTACATAGTAAATGGGTTTTCAATTGTATAAAATAACATAGTCCTACACATGTAGTTTACAACTCTAAATCGACTTTTCACCCGAAACGTCCAGATTTTTGGAAAAAAAATCAAAATTATAAAACAACATTTTTAAATTTAATTTTTAATCTGGTAACCAGAATGCTTTGAAATGTTGCAGATGTTTTAAGGCTATAAAGAGCATCATAAATCTTTAGTCAAAAAATATTTGCTTATCCCCTCCAAAAACTTGATGACGTCAGCTCAAAAGTTTGTGGAATAAATCATATCTAAAATGTACAAAATATGATGAGTCTGTACTTGTGATCTATCACTCCATTCATATTTTTTGGATTTGCATATACAGGGTGACTCAAAAAAATTAATGAATGCGTAAATTTATTTTACTGATTTACTCAGAAACTACAAAACCGAATGCTTTGAAATCTTGCAGATGTTTTAAGGTTATAAAGAGCATAATAAATGTTTAGTCAAAATATATTTGCTTATCCCCTCCAAAACATTGATGACGTCAGCTCGAAAGTTTGCCGAATAAATCCTATCTAAACTGTAAAAATATGATGAGTCTGTACTTGTAATTTATCACTCCATTCATATTTTTTGGATTTGCATATACAGGGTGACTCAAAAAAATTAATGAATGCGTAAATATATTTTATCGATTTAATCAGGAACTACAAAACCGAATACTCTGAAATCTTGCAGATGTTTTAAGGTCATAAAGAGCATAATAAATTTTTAGTCAAAATATATTTGGTTATCTTCTACAAAAAACTGATGACGTCAGCTCAAAAGTTTGCCGAATAAATCGTATCTAAAATGTACAAAATATGATGAGTCTGTACTTGTGATTTATCATTCCATTCATATTTTTGGATTTGCATATGCAGGGTGACTCAAAAAAATTAATGAAGGCGTGAATTTATTTTATCGATTTAATCAGGAATTACAAAACCGAATGCTTTGAAATCTTGGGAATATTTTAAAGTTATTATAAGCATGGTAAACTTTTGTTCAAAATGTATTTGTTCATCCCTCCTAAAAAAATTGATGACGTCACCCTTAAATTTTGCTGAATAAATCCTATCTAAAATGCAAAAAATATGATGAGTTTGTACTTGTGATTTATCATTCCATTCAAATTTTTTAGATTTTCTTAAGAGGTGGTTCAAAAAAATTAATGAAGTCAATTTATTTTATTGATTAAATTAAAAGCAACACTTATTATTAGTATTACACCCCAACCAACCCAATTTGGTAGACACAAAATTTGTTAAAGGAAAAACTCGGTTGAAACATAAGGGTAGCACGCTTATTTACATCGACTTTAACATTACAGACCTGCATTTGTTTTATGCGGTCACTTGGTTCCGCGAATGCGAAATAGACATGTTTATAATCAACCAATTGTGAATTTCACCGTCAAGAATTAAAATAAAACCTAATGTTTTGTATAATAAGCGGAAGTCGAAGCAATAAAACCGATGGTCGTGTTGTTTACAGTTTCTCTGTTTGACAGAACCGGACAGAAATCCGCTCTCTACATATTACACACCGACGTCGTATACGTGAGTAAATTGTTTCGTTATTTTATTGATTATAACAAATCAATATTCAAAACGACCCAATTCATTTTCCCGAAAATTTGGGAATACAATCATTTTATTCTTAGTATTACACTACATCTATCCCAACTGATATACGTGTCCTTGCAAAAATGTTGATGACGTCATCACAATTTTTTTTTAAATTCCCACTACAAAAATGTAATGAGAAAAAAACACAATAGGCATGCAGTCGTCAAGTTTCCGACAGCGAGGGAAGTACTGTCTAAACTCTTTAGACCAATTTTTTAATATTAGAGTTTTATTGACCACAAAATTTACAATATAATAACTAAAAGTACAAACATTACAAGTTAACATCCACAATTTCCACATGAAATCAGTTTCTATACAATTTCCTACGAGTTTTTTTTATAAAGATATACAAGTTGTTTCAAAATTTGCTTCACAGATTTAAAATTCGCGCCATGCTTTTTTGGCACTAATTTATAAACAGGTGCACACACTTCCTCAAATTCGTTGTAAGTGGTTAAGTATCGAGTGATTATTATTATTTGTGATTTTTTTGTCAGGTTGGCAACATATTTAAAATTTTATGATGGCATATTTGATGCCAAATTTTTTTAATATACGAAATTTTTCCTAATAAGAAACTGAAAACTTATTTAATTAGCGTGTTGTTCAAATAAAACTATATGTTACTAAAAAAAGTCCCGATCTCTACTGTGATGAATTTTTTATTCGTTGTCAAACCAAGGGGCGGAGCGTAATTGCAAAATACATGTTTCCCTACAAAAATTTTGAACATGTTTTAAGTTTCTTGTTGTGAAAAGAAGACTACGCATGTTAAGAAGAAACGGCAAAATATAAGCCCCACCCACCCACCCTATCTCATTTGTAATGATTTTTTTTATTCGTTGTCAGATCGAGCGGCGGAGTTTAATTGCAAAATTTTACTCTTTCAAGAATATATTTCACATGGTAATTTCTTGTGAAGAAATGAGGATTTTGCAGCTAAGCTCCGCCCTCGGGTCACGATGAATAAAAAAATCATCACAATCGAGGGAGGGTGGGCGGGCGGGGCTTATATTTTATGCATTTTTTTTTAATATACGAAATCTTTCCCTAACAAGAAACTGAAAACTCATTTAACTACCGTGTTGTTCAAATAAAACTGTATGTAATTAAAAAAAAGTCCCGATTTCAATTATGATGAATTTTTCATTCGTTGTCAAACCAAGGGGCGGAGCGTAATTGTAAAATACATATTTCCCTACAAAAATTTGGAACATGTTTAAGTCTCTTGTTGTTAAAAGAAGACTATGTATGTTAAGAAGAAACGGTAAAATATAAGCCCCACCCACCCACCCCATCTCGGTTGTGATGATTTTTGTTATTTATTGTTAGACCGAGCGGCGGAGTTTATTGCAAAATGTGTATTCCTTTGCAAAATTTTAGTCTTTCAAAAACATACATATTTCACAAGGTAATTTCTTGTTGAGAAATGAAGTTTTTGCAGCTAAGCTCCGCCCTCGGCTCACGATGAATAAAAAAATCATCCCAATTGAGAAGGGGTGGGTGGACGGGGCTTATATTTTGTATATACTTTTTTTTTAATATATGAAATCTTTTCCTAACAAGAAACTGATACTTATTTAACTACCGTGTTATTCAAATAAAACTGTATGTAATAAAAAAAAGTCCCGATGTTAATTGTAATGAATTTTTTATTCGTTGTCAAACCAAGGGGCGGAGCCTAATTGCAAAATACATATTTCTCTACAAAAATTTTGAACATGTTTTAAGTTTCTTCTGAAAAGAAGACTACGCATGGTAAGAAGAAAGGGCAAAATATAAGCCCCACCCACCCACCCTATCTCAGTTGTATTGTTTTTTTTTATTCGTTGTCAGACCGAGCGGCGGGGTTTAATTGCAAAATGCATATTTCTTTGCAAAATTTTATTCTTTCAAGAACATATTTCACAAGGTAATTTCTTGTGGAGAAATGAGGATTTTGCAGCTAAGCTCCGCCCTCGACTCACGATGAATAAAAAAATCATCCCAATTGAGAAGGGGTGGGTGGGCGCGGCTTATATTTTGTACATACTTTTTTTTTTAATATATGAAATCGTTTCCTAACAAGAAACTGAAAACTTATTTAACTACCATGTTATTCAAATAAAACTGTATGTAATAAAAAAAGTCCCGATGTTAATTATCTCATTTGTAGTGAATTTCTTATTCTTTGTCAAAGCAAGGGGCGGAGCCTAATTGCAAAATACATATTTGTCTACAAAAATTTTGAACATGTTTTAAGTTTCTTGTTGTGAAAAGAAGACTACGCATGTTAAGAAGAAAGGGCAAAATATAAGCCCCACCCACCCACCCTATGTCATTTGCAATGATTTTTTTTATTCGTTGTCAAACCAAGGGGCGGAGTTTAATTGCAAAATGCGTATTTCTTTGCAAAATTTTATTCTTTCAAGAATATTTTTCACATGATAATTTCTTGTAGAGAAATGAGGTTTTTGCAGCTAAGCTCCGCCCTCGACTCACGATGGATAAAAAAATTATCACAATTGAGAAGGGGTGGGTGGGCGGGGCTTATATTTTATACATACTTTTTTTTAATAAATGAAATCTTTTCTTAACAAGAAACTGAAAACTTATTTAACTACCGTGTTATTCAAATAAAACTGTATGTAATAAAAAAAAGTCTCGATGTTAATTATAATGAATTTTTTATTCGTTGTCAAACCAAGGGGCGGAGCCTAATTGCAGAATACATATTTCTCTACAAAAATTTTGAACATGTTTTAAGTTTCTTGTTGTGAAAAGAAGACTACGCATGTTAAGAAGAAAGGGCAAAATATAAGCCCCACCCACCCTATCTCATTTGTAATAATTTTTTTTATTCGTTGTCAAACCAAGGGGCGGAGCCTAATTGCAAAATACATATTTCTCTACAAAAATTTTGAACATGTTTTAAGTTTCTTGTTGTGAAAAGAAGACTACGCATGTTAAGAAGAAAGGGCAAAATATAAGCCCCACCCACCCACCCTATCTCAGTTGTATTGATTTTTTTTATTCGTTGTCAGACCGAGCGGCGGAGTTTAATTGCAAAATGCGTATTTCTTTGCAAAATTTTATTCTTTCAAGAACATATTTCACATGGCAATTTCTTGTAAAGAAATGAGGTTTTTGCAGCCAAGCTCCGCCCTCGACTCACGATGAATAAAAAAATCATCAAGATTGAGAGAGGGGTGGGTGGGCGGGGCTTATATTTTGTACATTTTTTTTTTAATATACGAAATCTTTACCTAACCAGAAACTGAAAACTTATTTAATTACCGTGTTGTTCAAATAAAACTATAAGTAACTAAAAAAAGTCCCGATCTCAATTGTGATGAATTTTTTATTCGTTGTCAGACCGAGGGGCGGAGCATAATTGCAAAATATATATTTCTCTATAAAATTTTGAACATGTTTTAAGTTTCTTGTTGTGAAAAGAAGACTACGTCTATTAAGAAGCAAGGGCAAAATATAAGCCCCACCCACCCACCCTATCTCAACTGTGATAATTTTTTTATTCGTTGTCAGACCAAGGGGCGGAGCGTAATTGCAAAATACATATTTCCCTACGAAAAATTTTGAACATGTTTTAAGTTTCTTGTTGTGAAAAGAAGACTTACACATATTAAGACGCAAGGGAAAAATATAAGCCCCACTCATCCACCCACCCACCCACCTCAGTTGTAATGATGTTTTTTACTCGTTGTCAGACCAAGGGGCGGAGCGTAATTGCAAAATACAGATTTCCCTAGAAAAATTTTGAACATGTTTTAAGTTTCTTGTTGTGAAAAGAAGACTTACACATATTAAGACGCAAGGGAAAAATATAAGCCCCACCCACCCACCCTGTCTCAGTTGTAATGATGTTTTTTATTCGTTGTCAGATCGAGCGACGGAGTTTAATTGTAAAATTTTACTCTTTCAAGAACATATTTCACATGGTAATTTCTTGTAGAGCAATGAGGATTTTGCAGCTAAGCTCCGCCCTCGGCTCACGATGAATAAAAAAATATATCACAATAGAGAACGGGTGGGTGGGCGGGGTTTATATTTCGTACATTTCTTCTTAATATACGAAGTCGTCTTTTCCCAACAACTGGAAACATGCTTAACTATTGTGTTGTTCAAATAAAACAAAAAACTATATACCTATATTGAGAAGAAAAAAAAAAGATTAAGCACGACCTATTAACACGTTTTTTCTTAACATTTTTTTAAAAGTAATGAGGTATTGTAATGAATTCCTTAAAAAAAAGTGATTTGTAAATGTAATGAATTAGTTACTGGACAATGAGTAATTGTAATACATTACTTTTTAAAAGTAATTGTTCCAATCACTTAAAAATAATTAAAACAAGAAAAACACGTCTCATGTTTTCAAACAAAACAAAAACCCGTTTTTTAATCATTAACATCTCTAGAATTAACATACCAACATTACTGTCAATAGTTCAGAATTGCCAACCCAAAAATTTGCTTCATTGAGTAAGTCACCCGTACTTCACAATTTCTTTCAAACAAAACCAGGCAACCAACGATCCAAAATTCCTTTTGGTGTGAAATGACTTTTTACTAACTTTTGAGCTTCCAAGTAATTGTTTGGCAACATTTTTTTACGTAGAGTGGGTATTAGTTGTGAAAAAATGATTTATGGATGAAAAAAGTGAGGTTAAGTGCAGATGTCAACTTACGGTTTCGTCGATTTTATTTAAAATTTCTAACAGAGAATGTTTGTAGAAATTCAGAACGTTGTACAAAGTAAAAAGTTCCGTCTCCATCGCAATATCGTAAAAGAATAACACACTAATTTAAGAAACAAAAAAATGTCCACTTTAATTGAAAAAACACAGTTTACACATAAAAATACCCACTTCACTAGAACACAACCGTTGGCAAATAAAACCCCGATAAAAAATTAATTTAAAAACATGATTTTCGTCCCTCTTAAAAAAATTTGACAGACCGTTGTCACTTGTCACAAAACACCGACAAGCCCCGCCCACCACCGTGTCCCTGATTGGCCGCGCAGCGCGCCAAACTCAAACTTCCCTTTGATTCCAACATTTATTTCTAACCACTACATTTAAAAGCAATATTACAAAATTCAATTAAAACAACTAAATGCGCGTTTTTGAGCAGTCTTAATTCGATTCGTCAGCAACGGAATGCCAATTATCAAATTTCGCAAATCAGACTTTTTTTCTTAAATCAAATTCAAAATGAAATCTTCAGACTCACTCCTGGAAGTACTCGGTTTGGGTTTGTCTTCTTCTTGCATGAAGGACAAGATTACGCTGCTCTCACTATCATAAGAACATGTGGGCTGAGTTTGGGTGTAGGGGAGGGACCGGTCTTGAGAGTATGGTACGGAGGCGCGAGTTAAAATCGGCTCGGGGGAAATCTCAAAATTCTTAATAATCGAAGTGAGGATGGGGCTTTCGTCCATGATGGGCAGCTGCACGTCTTTGTCGATTGGCACGTCGCTGATTATTGTGGCTTCTGATGAACAACTGTCACTTATAATATCATCTTGTGGCTTGGTTTTGTCTAGTTTACGTTTTCGGGGTTTCTTTTCTTGTTTGGATGGAAAAATAAGTGAATTGGAGGACGCCCAGTTTTCGATTTGACGGCTGTAGGTTTCGAGATCTTCATCTGTGGGTTTTTCGAAGGATTCGCAGAAGTGCCAGGTCAGTCTCATCCACCAGAAGCGGTAGTTATCGTTGAAGAGCTCGAAATTTTTGTTATCTATTCTAGAAGACAGATATGAGAGAGTGACGGTTTGGGGGGCACAACTCACTCATAGAATTCATGCAGTTTACCAACGCAACCTGGATTAGCCCAGTTCAACATGTTCCACTGCAGCTTCTGGTCGGGGTCCGTCTAGAAACAAAAAAAACATGAACTTTAAGCAATCACGGGGTGCGAGAAAACGTACGTAGAAACTTCGACACGTCAGCCCCACGTTGAAATTTCCGTTCAGTCTCTTGATTACTCTTTTTATGGCAATTTGATCAAAATTTTCAATCACGACAGAAAAAAAATCGTGTTCGGTTAAATCCTCAGCTAGTTTTAAAGAATCAGAATAGAGAAGCAAAGCTATTTTTTTAGTATTGCCTTTGTAGGTGTTGGAAGAGTCTGCAAGTCGTGCGGTTATCAAGATTGAAGTTTGTCAACAAACATAACCTCACTTTTTGATGTCACTTGAATAACTTCGACGTCTGCATGGTTGGTGAGATGGAAGTGCCAAAAACAGCTAGACTGGCGTGAGCAAATCACTAAGATTATCGCTGGCCCTTTTACTAAAGCTCTAAAGAACGCCGACAGCTCCAGTGGGTAATTCATATCGGGCTCTTGGTTCAAAATCGAACCTTTTATCTAGAACGCTGTGTTATGACGCGCTGTTACGCCATTTGTTGTCGAAGCGCTTACCCCTTTACGGTAATTGTGATAAAGAAACTCGACTGCCATTATGTGGTAATTTTTTAGATGTTTGGTGACCTCGAGGGGTATGGAAATTGGGGTGTCATCGCCTTGTTTGGATAGGATCCAAGGCTTGTTGAGCGTGGATGGCTGCAACCAGTCATTTACAACAACGAAAACACAAACACTGCGTTGTATACATTTTTTACGTAGAACATAACTAGGACAGAATTATTTCATTGAATCTTGACATTATATAAAAAATCATTCCCACTATGTATAACAGCTTTAAATATAAAATTGCCACAAATATCGAAAAGCTCGTTTTGTCACTTTCATCGTCTAGGAAGTCGTACAATTCAAGCATTTTTTGCGACTTTGGGCATAATTTTGCTGATCAGAGTGTTATAACCTATAACTCTTGACACTGTTGACCTTTGCTTTTGACAGACGTCAAACTTGGAATTTTGTGGTTAAGGTTCCGGTTCTGGGACTTTCAACTACTATTGCATTGCTTTTACAGCTTTTACCATGATGAAGTGGATTTCATTTGCTAGTTTCTGAAAGTGGATTTTAGTTTTTTGGGTCATTTGTACAAGTCACAACCTTTGATTTTGGTTCCAGCAGTTCAGGAGAAGTGGGTCTAAAGTTGGTCATGAAGTTCACCACTGCTATTTTCGGTTTTTCTTTTAAAACGTATGCATCGATTCTGTTTGGTGGGATCTCGTCTGAAATAAGTTAACTCGGTTTAGTTTGACATAGTATTTCGGATTAATGATAACTGGCAATAATTGAACTACCGGGTTCAAATTATGTGAAAGCGAGTGTACATACTTTGCAAACTTTTCGTAGACCCCTGTCAAGTTTATGAGTTTAGAAAAACTGATTTGTAATTGATTAATATTCAAACTCTAAGGGCCGGTTTATAGAAACGCGAGTTAAATATTTAATCCTCGATTAATTTAACACTGGATTAAAATGTGGAATGGTAGCTCGTGATTGGTTAAAACCTGCACGTCGCCTAGCAACGAACCTCAATTAAAAGTTAATCGCGAATTAACTTTAACTTCGGTTTCTATAAACCAGGTCTAAATCTGTACATTATCGCTACGAACTGGCAACTTTGTGTATATTACGTTTATTAATTGAGAAATATACCTAAATACTAAAAATTATATGCTAACTGTTAATAATATACATAGGTTCACACTTTAAGGCTTTTAAGAAACAATAACTAGTCAGCACTTTATTAACCGTTAGAACCTCTTATATGACTAAAGCAGACATACCCAGGTCTAAGTATTTGAAAAAAGAATCTCTCTCCTTGTCAATGTTAACACCCAAGCTATCCAGACGACTTTCATCAGCAGTATCATTACCAGGTTCATGCGAAACAGTAAAAAACCCACTGGTAAAATTAACTTCTTGTGGTGAAAACAGGAAAAATACAGCTTTAATATTGTTTTTGTTCTTCGAGAAATAATTTTTAAACGTTTTAATAACCTTGTTGTCAGCAGTATCACTCTAAATAATGAACATTCTTCAGTTTTTAACAGTAACCGAATTGCTAATACTTACACCAAAACCGTTCAAAATATCGTCCCCGGAGGGCTCATTGTCTTTAAATTGTTCAAAAGACTTGTTCCAGTTAGAATAAATTGGCTACCAATATTGCTTTAGTAACACATCAAGTGTGACGACACCACTTACTAACGACTGCGAAAATTCATAACCATCAGGGTCCAACAAGGGGAGAAAATGGAAGCAGTATTTCTTCAAAAGATGATTCGTCTGGCGAACGTCTGCAAAAAATTTGTTCATGAGTTCGATCGTTGTGAAAATGCTAAGCCAGTCGCTGGCCAGCAATCCAGAAACTGTGAGGACTATGGGTTCCTTTGATCCTAGTTGCTTTAGGACCACTTCGTCGATTGGGTGTCCCTTTTTGGATCTTCCTATTTCATTTGTGGTGAAGAGAAAGCTGCGTTGATTAGCAAACTGCTTCAGAAACTTGGATAACTGAAAGAAGGGTTGGTTGGTATTTGAGATTTGTGTGTTTGCACTTTAGGTACTTCTGAAGGGGTGTAGTACTTTTCGTTTGCAGCATCTTCGCTTTCTGAATCTTCAGTTTCGTTGTAGGGGCTGAAGGGGTTTTAGAAACGTTGTGGAAGAGATTTAAAACGTACCTTAGGTATGTGTGTTTTGATGATATGGATCGACCGATTTGAATAACCATAATAGGGACTAAAACTGCTAGAATTATTAGCGTTATTATTAAAATCGTGTAGAAACATTTTTCTGTTCGTTTGCACATTTTGACACTTTTGTTAGATCTGTCGTCTAGCAATATAGCAAATGTTAATTGTTTTTTCTACCGCAAAACGTGTGGATATATCGGGATTCAGATGAGCTTTAGTCAAAAAGTCCTTTAGAAAAGGAAACGATTTGTCAGAAAAATATAAACAATTGTTAATTAGTCCTGTTGCTTTAGTTTGTTAACATATTATTAAATTCAAATATTTTTTAATTTGTACCTTAGAAAGGACTCACTCTAGTGGGAACTGGTTAGTAAAAATAGAAATACATGCTCATTTTATTTATTTATCACAAAATTAAAAATCCTTTTGAAAGATATAATAATATCTTTGAAGTCTGATTGAATCGGAAGAGTTTGAAGTACCTTATATTACTGAACGTTATTTTTAGGCCTGTACGTCTTAGTAATGATCCCTTTAACACGTTTTCTGCAAAGTCCCATTAACATAGGAACCACTGGATACTTATCAAGATTCATGAGGGACTTTAACTCGTCGTTTTCGAACAATAACCCATACTCAGTCAGATCGAAAATGGAGGCTTTGACGGATTCTCGTAAGGCGAAATTAGCAAACACCAGGAAGATAATGTTTCTGACGAGATCTGGATCATACTGGGTGTTCAAAACAGGAACGAAGGTTCGGATGAGTGACGGAACTGCTATTTTGACATCATAAATGACTTTGGGGTTGATAAGACATATTAGGTTCTTGAGTTTTGGGAGACGTCTAGAGGCGAATATAGTAAAGTCTAGGTGAAACTCGAAGGAGTAGAAGAAAGAGTCTGTTAAAGTTATGTCGTAGTTGCAGGGTTTGGACAGATCCATGTGGAGAATAATTTCAAATGAGTCACAATAACCGTACTTGAAGTAGATCTGGTGGATAGCTAAAGCGTTTAGATCGACTCCATAGTTAAGCATGCAACAGATCAGCTGAGTGATGGCCTCCAAAGAATTATCAGTGTAATCGAAAATGTCGATGATGTAGTTAATAAGAAGCGAGTCTTTGGCGTGGATTTGGTCCACAAGAGTATCAGCCACAGTACTGTCAAACAACGCCAACAAATTTTTCGTTACAGCTTTTAAATTCTTGAAGTATTCGCAGTCGAGGATGTCGATTTCGTACGTCTCTTTTTGTAAACAATGTTATAATTATATTCTTCTAATTTAAGTCTCCATCTTACTAATCTGCAGTTCGTCTCTTTCAGGCTAAACAGCCACTGTAGCGGTTTATGGTCTGTTATTATTGTGAATTTTTGCCCGAATAAGTAGGGTCGCTGTATTTTTCCTTGGCTTAATATAGCACCAATTGCCACATTTGATGCATCTGTCGTTAGATTAAACGGTTTGTCGAAATCAGGGTATTGAAGTGGGGATAATAAAGTTCTGCAATCCATGGTCTTAATATAGAAATATTACGTCCTGTATGAATTAAGAGTTTAATTGGAGGGTTATTGATTTTTACACATGGTAATAAATTGCAAAAGTTATGTTATTTGTTTCTGTTATTATCTCGGATCTTAAAATAGGCTGTTTGATGGGAAATTTGGTTCGGTATTTGTTCGATATCGTCATTATTAGTTTCCTGATAATCATAGTCTGTTTGATATGAAAGTTTGTCATCTATTTGATATAATTCTTCGGATATGAAGTTTTGATTGGGTTTAGAGGGGTTATGATAGTAATTACGGAGATTGAAATTTTGAGGAGACCTGTATGTAATTGACATGGGCTGTATTTGGGTTTTAATCGTGGAGACTCGAGATGTTGTTGACATCGGGGTTGACATTTTGACATTTTTGTTAGATGTGTCTTCTAGTAATATAGCAAAAATTAACTGATTCTCAAGCACAAAACGTGCGAATATACTCAGATAAACTTTAAACACAGAGTCCTATCGAGAAATAAATAGTTTGTCCAAAAAATATAAATAGAAGGTAACTTAGCGCAGAACATCTTTGTTAATTAGTACTGACTTGTTTGTTCGAACAGGTTTTTAACTTACTACAAAATTAAGACATTTTACAATTTATACCTTAGAAAGGTATCATACTAGTGGGAGCTGGCCAGTAAAAACAGCAATAAATGCTCGTCTTATTTATTTATCACAAAATCTGAAACTCCAACTTGGAAGGGGTCAAAAACAGTCTTGTAGTTTATAAAATATAATAATTCCAAAACATTAGTAAAAACTAGAAAATATTTTTTCAAAAATAAAATCTTAATCTCTATAATCACATTAATTTTTTGATCTAATGGTTATGACACAGAGGATACAGAGTCCTTTTGAAAGATATAATATCTTTGAAGTCAGACTGAATCGGAAGAGTTTGAAGTACCTTATAATACTGAACGTTATTTCTAGGCCTGTACGTCTTAATAATGATCTCTCTAACACGTTTTTTGCAAAGTTCCATTAGCATAGGAACCACTGGATATTTATCAGGATCCATGAAGGACTTTAACTCGTCGTTTTTGAACCATACTCAGTCAGATCGAAAATGGAGGCTTTGACGGGTTCTCGTAAGGCGAAATTAGCAAACACCAGGAAGATAACGTTTCTGACGAGATCTGGATCATACTGGGTGTTCAAAACAGGAACGAAGGTTCGGATGAGCGACGGAACTGCTATTTTGACGTCATAAATGACTTTGGGGATGATAAGACACATTAGGTTCTTGAGTTTTGGGAGGCGTCTAGAGGTGAATATAGTAAAGTCTAAGTCGGACTCGAAGGAGTAGAAGAAAGAGTCTGTTAAAGTTATATGGGTTTGGACAGATCCATGTGGAAAAGAATTTCGAATAAGTCGCAATAACCGTACGTGAAGTAGATCTGGTGGATAGCTAAAGCGTTTAGATCGCCTCTATAGCTAAGCATGCAACAGCTCAGCTGAGTGATGGCCTCCAAAGAATTATCAGTGTAATCGGAAATGTCGATGATGTAGTTAATAAGAAGCGAGTCTTTTGCGTGGATTTGGTCCACAAGAGTGTCAGCCACAGTACTGTCAAACAACGCCAACAAATTTTTCGTTACAGCTTCCAAATTCTTGAAGTATTCGCAGTCGAGGATGTCGATTTCGTACGTCTCGAATATCTCCTCGATGACAAAATCAAACTTCTTGATGAAGAGAATGAAGAATTCTGGGTAGTCTTTAATGGTGCAAAGAAACTCTTTAGCGTCAGGCTCGTTGTAATTAACCCCAGAAGCAATTTCCACCAGGTGAGAAAACGGCAAAGATTTCCCCTCCAAGGCTTTAATGAACGTCTTCAAGCTGAAATTCTTCTCGTAACCCTCCAACTTGTGAAGAAATATTTCCTGTACCTCTGGCTTGTCGCTCGAGCACGCAGCTATGTCGAAACACGTGATCACCTCAAAGGGCTCCCTTAGCGACAAATACGTCAGAAATACGCACCAGCCCTTTTCGATTTTGAGATAGTCGGCTTTGATGTTGGGGTCTGCGCCGAAAAAGAGCAGCATCCAGATCTCGTCGATGAGCCCCCGTTCGCAGGCCCAGTGTAGAGGTGTTTCTGCTTTGGAGTTTTGGCCGTTGACGTTGAGGCCGTGTTCGATGAGGCACTCGGCCACTTGGATCCAGTCGTTACCCACGGCCCAGTGTAGTAACGTGCTTCTGTCGTCGAAATTGGCAAAAATATCACACCCTGCTTCTATCAGTCTGAATACGTAGTCTTCCGAATACGAGTCGTACATGAAGGCCTTCATCAAGGGAGTATTGCCTCTGCAGTTTCGGGAGTTTCTGGGGACTTCCTTCAGGCTGAGGAGATAATCCAGAACGTCGTACCTGGAAATGGTTTATGATTAAACTTGACTGGGTTTTGCGAGGAGGTTACATGTCGTGTCTTTGTTGGTTCATCACTGCTAGGTAGAGAAGCGAGTTTTTGTTGCTATGACAGGAAGCGAAGCGTTTTCCGGTCTTTTTCAGCTGTTCGAGTTGGTCTAGGAGGTCATTGTGTTGCACTGTTTGTTTTTTAAATATCTAACATACGATCTGAAATTAAAGGATCATTTTAATTTTTTTATTTCTTAAAAAGGAAATCTTCTCTTAAAATCAATTTTTCTGTAAATTTCGTAAGTAAGTTGTCGTAAAATGGGCAACTATTCATCCCATCTCTCGTTCATTGCTATTCAGTCAATTACTATTACGGCTCACAATCGTTGTTCAGCGAATCCGCCCCCGCACTATCGATTGTCCCCTCTCCCGGCGGCGGCCGCGTCAACATGCAAACCTTGATCTGTCCTAAATCCAAATCCAAACAGTGCGTGCAGTGATAACCACGATGGCAATAGACAAGCTCGCGGCTCTCCAGGCCGCCCAGGACGAGTCCGACCCCGAGGACACCTACGAGCTGCTGTGCGAGAATAACCCGACGATGGAGGCCTTGTTCAACGAGATCCAAGCCATCCGCGAGATGCTCAGCCACATCGAGGAGTGCGTCAAGGAGGTGAAGGAGCTGCACAGCACCTTGCTGATGGCACCGCAAGGCGACCCCAAGGATCAGCAACGTCTGGAGGACCTCGAGGCCGAGATCAAGCAGAATGCCAACCGTGTCCGATCCAAGCTCAAGCAGATGGAGCCCGAGGACAAAGGGGAGACTTCCTCGGCGGAGTCGCGGATGCGGATGGCGCAGCACATGACGCTGACCAAGAAGTTGAAGGAGATCATTACGGACTACACTAAGGCGCAGGTGGAGAGTCACTGCAAGTAGGGGGTGCGGGGGCGTAACGCAAATCCTGGATTTACCCATACGCTTGCTGGCGAAGCTTTGTATTGAGTATTTCACTTGTTGAATAGTTACAGTCGTTGTGAAAATAAACCGAATTTCACTACTCATTAGTTAGAAATGTGTGGTTAAGGACACAACAGAAAGCTAAAGTCATTTCAGGAACAATTAAAATTTGAATGCAAATCTCTAACAATTTATAATAGGGACACATTTAGTTTTCCTTTTTGTCTTTTCTAAAACTAATAACGTCACGAGGACAACCACAAGTCGACAAATACAGTAAATAGTATCTGTATTATGCCAAACATTAAGGTTTAGATTTTCAGAAATGTGTCAAGACTTAACAAAACTACCGAGAGGAAGGAATTTTGTTTTGCTTTGCTTGCTCCATTCTCGCAATTTTGGCTTTTAAACTGTTTAAATGAATATTCATACATTTTGACAATTTAGACTTTTACATTTGAAATTGGAATCATTTATCACTTCTATTACAGTTTTGAAGACATACGAAGGAAAAAAAGTTACCTATATTTCGAAATGATAATAATCATAGCTTATTAAAGAGGTGCCGATGTTCGACTATTATGTTGATCTTCCGTATAATCAGAATTCGCGGTTCATGTCCTCGAAAAACTTCATTACGTCATATCAGAAGAAGTACTGCACAACTACTTTTAACTTTACACATATGCCTGATAGTGTTAGTCACATAAAGTAAAATACACTTTGAACATACAAAAACCTCAAGTTTCCTTAAAATAAATTAAAATAAAAAAATTTGAACCATAGCGAGAGAAAAAAGTTTCGGCTCTGGTATGGTTAACATATTGAGTTACCGTGCTCTTTTGCCTTATTCTTAACCCTGCTCCTGAAGATGCCACTTACGAAAGTGTGCGAAACGTTGAGCCCAAAAACTCAATTAACAGCGTACCACCCCGGAAAATGATCATGTAACGATGATTATGAATTGATAAGTTTTAAATCAAGACGAATTCAAATGCACCGTGGAAAATATTCGTGGAATAAATTTAGTAATTTGAAAACTCTTCCAATAATAAAAATATTTTTATTCCAGCTGTATGTCGTCAAGTTACGACGTAAGTTCAAAAATATATTACTACTTATCTTTGTTTTTGCTGATGGCATCTTGGGCACCAAAGACACCAAAAAAATCCGCATCGTGTTACTCCATTACACGCTAGAAAAATAGCTGTTCTTGGCTTTTTCGTACTATGTAGAGTTCAAGGAGTGCTCGTTTACCTCTTAGCATGAAAGTTCTTAGTAACTTCGGCATCATTTTCGCATGGTGGGTGTAGATATTGGGTGAAAGCACACCGTGTTTGGCTTTCTTCTTTCTTATTTGAAAGCTTCTAACTTTTTAATTACGAAGTCATCCAAAAGACTTCTGATCTGGGAAAGGTTAAATATTTTATTTTGTCAAGGGATCTTGTTAGATTTTCGCAAAACCAGTGTAGTTCTATTTGGCTAGGGAACATTAGGTCATGTAGCACAGAATGAATATTGGTCTTGGGAGTAAATTTTTCAGTTTTTTGTTTTTCTAGTGTAAACTGAGGCTTGCAGGCTTTTCGTTTCCGTCAGATGGACTGTTGGTGATTTTTTTTTAATAAATAACGTTACGTTATCTAATTCTGTAACTACAAGTGGTATGAATATAATGTGATTGCTATATTACCGAAAACTAAATTAACCTCTTCAGGGCACAAACTGGTGCTTCCATGAATGGCACATTACTTGTTGCTAGCATTGATCTTAACATTTAGCTTGTTCATACTTGCACTTGCAATTGTCATAGAGCTTTAATGCAATGTTTTATATAGAGTGCGTTTACCGAATAGATAGAGTCATTACGTGTCTATAAAGTGAGCGTTCAAGATTACACGATCACCTCATAATTAAACGTGTAAGAAAACTGTGGCGGGATATTTGAAAATATATTTATAATAAATGCATGTTATACACCTTGCAGTTGAAATAACATACAGTATCTCTCAGTTCTTCCTATCCGATTCTGAGATAAGGGTAAAAAACTAGTTTAACAAGTGGCATGGTATTCAAACCGAATTATGTTATCACAACGGATATTTAAATCCCTTAATAGCAAGTTTTAAATTTTTAAATCGGATTTCACGCACTTTTACAACTCCATTTGTTCGGTAAACGGAGTATAGTTCATACGTATCCTTCTTTTTCTGTAAGTGTAGTAATGCCAAAAGTAATTAACGTTCTGCTTCATAAGCACATGTTTAACTTAATAACTGCTTCCAGTAACCACCCCAACGTTCTAGGTGAATTACAGCGCCCTCTGCAAAGCCCGGCTGATTCGCCAACTGGAAATCGTCGGCAAGCAGTGCACAAACGAAGAGGTCGACGAGATGCTGGAAAACGGGGATGTTTCCGTCTTCACCTTCGAAATCACGACTGACACCCGGGTGGCAAAGCAGCAACTAGCCGACATCGAGGCCAGACATGCCGACCTGATGAAGCTGGAAACGTCCATCAAAGAGTTGCACCACATGTTCCTGGATATGGCGATGCTGGTGGAAGGCCAGGGAGAATTGATGGATCGAATCGAGTATCAGGTCGGACTGACAAAGGATTACGTCGAAGAAGGCACGAGGGAACTGAACCAAGCCGCAAGGGCAAAAGACAAGGCTCGAAAGAAGAAAATCATGATTGTAGTGTGCCTTACGATAACTGGTATTGTTACGTTCGGTATTACAGGAGGAATGTTATTTTAAATTGTCGGTGTGACAAAATGAGTGGTGACGTCAAGATGCTGGTTTTGAGGGTGATGGAAAGAGGTAAGAGGTTCTGGGGTTTCCGGGCAGGATCATCAGAAAAAACTAGAACTCACATAATGCTGACGTCATCACTTATTTTGTCTATCACGATAGATATATAGACTTTACTATACGAAAAAGTCTGCCTCAAGTACTTAAGTAGTGTAGCTAGCTATAGTTTCCCATTTTTTCGTATAGAAAAGTCGATTTCACGCAATGTGCCATGTTTTACGTCAATTACATGGTGTCGTCAATTTCACGTGAACAAGTGGTTATTAATTACGTCATATTCACGAAAAATTTGACGTGCTATTGACATTAGTAATGATGGTCAAATGTCCCGTCCGAGTGACGTCATCTTGTAACGAACTGTTACTGACTGAATTATTGACTTAATGGAAACGTCATTTATTGTCCATTTTAAGACGCTTCCTATATTTTGCTACCTTGGGTTTTTAGAAAGAAATATGGAATGAAATGAAACACTAAATAATTTCATATTTTTATATTGTTTACCCTAAATAAAGTTTTTTATAATTCGATTAATTAACAATAATTAAAGATAAATCAACCTTAGGAACACAAAAATACATATGTACGAGTACATAACATTATAAGAAAACTGTAACAAAACTTTCCAACAGATTCCAAATATCATTATTAGTAAAACAAAAATTAAAAAAAAATTACTTTGTGAAATCTTTTCAACGTTACTTCTGCCACCTTGTGAAATTGTCGTTCCCTTACCAAATCTTTAAGTTTTGCGAAACATTGTGATAAAAATAAATACCATGTAATACTATAGACCTAACCTAACGTAACACTTGCCGGTCACCGAAGGTTGTCGCATATTTTTCGAAGGAGTTGTTTTTAAGAATGAACTGATGCGTGTTTTGCTTGATAATCTCGTATTTTATACGTATTGTTTAAAATATAGACGTGTAAATATCCGTTATTTGAATATTATGTAATGAGAATAACGGATAGTAAGTGCCAATCAAATGTGCCAATTAACCGCCATGACAATAAAATTTTGTAACGGAGGTTGGCATCATTTCTGTCCTCACGTTGACAGTTTTACTGTCGACTTACCTATTAAGTTTGTTGCGGTGTTTAGATATGTTTTAATGCTGCATTTAATCAACTGGTTTTTGTATAACATTGTTAAAATTTTTGAAAAATAAAAAAGAAATTTATATGGATTGATTTTCGTTTTCTTCTCGCCCTCATTTACGTATTCAGTACCAACCATATACTTCCCGTTGTAATGTAATGCTTTCTAAGTGCGGTAATTTCTATTAAGTCGAAATGGAGCATCCCAAAAACAAAAATTATTTACTTCTTTTTTGTAGGAGTTTTAGTAATGCTATGTCATGCCATGAGTTTAAAGAAAAAAAAAAAACTGTTTAATTTATAATTGACGACATATTAATTCAATCTCTAATATCTCTGTCCATTATCACTAAAAAGTGGCAAATCTGTATCATTTTTAAATTTCACAGTTCCTCACTTATACGAGTTCTCGTAGATGTTAAAATGCTTTAAAAATTAATAATGATTATTCAAACATCACAATTTTCGTGATGATCTTGATCAGATAAATCCTGAATTGCATCAAACATCGTCGTTTTTAATATTTGTTTGATTGATTCCCCATCACTTCCAGCTTGACGGGCCCCCAGGACATGTCACAATGCTGCCGATAGGGTTGTTGAGGAAGTCGAGCTGCTCGAAGGTCTTCATCTCGGGTTTTTGGATGCGGCCTGGGTGTAGTCGGAGATGCTGCACTCAGCACCAATGAATGGATCAATTTGTTAAATGTGTCGTGTAGTAATATATTTAGCAAATGTTATATGGATATACCGTGTGACACAGATGAACTTTAAACAAGAAAAATACACATTTTGTCCAAAAAATATAAATAGAAGGTAACTTAGCGAAGAACATCTTTGTTAATTAGTCCTGGTTTGTTTGTTAGAATAGGTTATTAACCTATAAGGCATTTTACAATTTATACCTTAGAAAGGTCTCATACTAGTGGGAGCTGGCCAGTAAAAACAGCAATAAATGCTCGTCTTATTTATTTATCACAAAATCCGAAACTCCAACTTGGAAGGGGTCAAAAACAGTCTTGTAGTTTATAAAATATAATAATTCCAAAACATTAGTAAAAATTAGAAAATATTTTTTTTTAAATAAAATCTTAATCTCTATAATCACATTCATTTTTTGATCTAATGGTTATGACACAGAGGATACAGAGTCCTTTTGAAAGATATAATATCTATGAAGTCTGACTGAATCGCAAGAGTTTGAAGTACCTACCTTATAATATTGAACGTTATTTTTAGGCCTGTACGTCTTAATAATGATCTCTCTAACACGTTTTCTGCAAAGTTCCATTAGAATAGGAACCACTGGGTACTTATCAGGATCCATGAAGGACTTTAACTCGTCGTTTTCGAACAATAACCCATACTCAGTCAGATCGAAAATGGAGGCTTTGACGGGTTCTCGTAAGGCGAAATTAGCAAACACCAGGAAGATAATGTTTCTGACGAGATCTGGATCATACTGGGTGTTCAAAACAGGAACGAAGGTTCGGATGAGCGACGGAACTGCTATTTTGACATCATAAATGACTTTGGGGATGATAAGACACATTAGGTTCTTGAGTTTTGGGAGACGCCTAGAGACGAATATAGTAAAGTCTAAGTGAGACTGGAAGAAGTAGAAGAAAGAGTCTGTTAAAGTTATGTCGTAGTTGCAGGGTTTGGACAGATCCATGTGGAGAAGAATTTCGAATAAGTCGCAATAACCGTACTTGAAATAGATCTGGTGGATAGCTAAAGCGTTTAGATCGACTCCATAGCTAAGCATGCAACCGATCAGCTGAGCGATGGCTTCCAAAGAATTATCAGTGTAATCGAAAATGTCGATGATGTAGTTAATAAGAAGCGAGTCTTTGGCGTGGATTTGGTCCACAAGAGTATCAGCCACAGTACTGTCAAACAACGCCAACAAATTTTTCGTTACAGCTTCCAAATTCTTCAAGTATTCGCAGTCGAGGATGTCGATTTCGTACGTCTCGAATATCTCCTCGATGACAAAATCAAACTTCTTGATGAAGAGAGTGAAGAACTCTGGGTAGTCCTTAATGGTGCAAAGAAACTCTTTAGCGTCAGGCTCGTTGTAGTTAACCCCAGAAGCAATTTCCACCAGGTGAGGAAACGGCAAAGATTTCCCCTCCAAAGCTTTAATGAACGTCTTCAAACTGAAATTCTTCTCGTAACCCTCCAATTTGTGAAGAAATATTTCCTGTACCTCTGGCTTGTCGCTCGAGCACGCAGCTATGTCGAAACACGTGATCACCTCAAAGGGCTCCCACAGCGACAAATACGTCAAAAATACGCACCAGCCCTTTCCGATTTTGAGATAGTCGGCTTTGATGTTGGGGCTGCGCCGAAAAAGAGCAGCATCCAGATTTCCTCGATGAGGCCCCGTTCGCAGGCCCAGTGTAGAGGGGTTTCTGCTTTAGACTTTTGGCCGTTCACGTTGAGGCCGTGTTCGATGAGGCACTCGGCCACTTGGATCCAGTCGTTACCCACGGCCCAGTGTAGTAACGTGCTTCTATCGTCGAAATTGGCAAAAATATCACACCCTGCTTCTATCAGTCTGAACACGGAGTCTTCTGAATACGAGTCGTGCATGAAGGCCTCCATCAAGGGAGTATTGCCTCTGCAGTTTCGGGAGTTTCTGGGGACTTCCTTCAGATTGAGAAGATAATCCAGAACGTCGTACCTGGAAATGGTTTATGATTAAACTTGACTGGGTTTTGCGAGGAGGTTACATGTCGTGTCTTTGTTGGTTCATCACTGCTAGGTAGAGAAGCGAGTTTTTGTTGCTATGACAGGAAGCGAAGCGTTTTCCGGTCTTTTTCAGCTGTTTGAGTTGGTTTAGGAGGTTATTGTGTTCCACTATTTGTTTTTTAAATATCTAACATATGATCTGAAATTAAAGGATCGTTTTAATTTTTTTATTTCTTAAAAAGGAAATCTTCTCTTAAAATCAATTTTTCTGTAAATTTCGTAAGTAAGTTGCCATAAAATGGGCAACTATTCATCCCCTCTCTCGTTCATTCCTATTCAGTCAATTACAATTACGGCTCACAACCGTTGTTGGGCGAATCCGCCCCCGCACTATCGATTGTCCCCTCTCCCGGCGCCGGCCGCGTCAGCATGCAAACCTTGATCTGTCCTAAATCCAAATCCAAACAGTGCGTGCAGTGATAACCACGATGGCAATAGACAAGCTCGCGGCTCTCCAGGCCGCCCAAGACGACTCCGACCCCGAGGACACCTACGACCTGCTGTGCGAGAATGACCCGACGATGGAGGCCTTGTTCAGCGAGATCCAAGTCATCCGCGAGATGCTCAGCCGCATCGAGGAGTGCGTCAAGGAGGTGAAGGAGCTGCACAGCACCTTGCTGACGGCACCGCAAAGCGACCCCAAGGATCAGCACCGTCTGGAGGACCTCGAGGCCGAGATCAAGCAGAATGCCAACCGGGTGCGATCCAAGCTCAAGCAGATGGAGCCTGAGGACGAAGGGGATACCTCCTCGGCGGAGTCGCGGATGCGGATGGCCCAGCACATGACGCTGACCAAGAAGATGAAGGAGATCATTACGGACTACACTAAGGCGCAGGTGGAGAGTCACTGCAAGTAGGGGGCGGGGGCGTAACGCAAATCCTGGATTTACCCATACGCTTGCTGGCGAAGCTTTGTATTGAGTATTTCACTTGTTGAATAGTTACAGTGGTTGTGAAAATAAACCGAATTTCACTATTCATTAGTTAGAAATGTGTGGTTAAGGACACCACAGAAGAAAATCTCTAACAATTTATAATAGGGACACATTTAGTTTTCCTTTTTGTCTTTTCTAAAACTAATAACGTCACAAGGATAACCACAAGTCGACAAATACAGTAAATAGTATCTGTATTATGTCAAACATTAAGGTTTAGATTTTCAGAAATGTGTCAAGACTTAACAAAAACTACCGAGAGGAAGGAATTTTGTTTTGCTTTATTTGCTCCATTCTCGCAATTTTGGCTTTTAAACTGTTTAAATGAATATTCATACATTTTGACAATTTAGACTTTTACATTTGAAATTGGATCCATTTTTCACTTCTATTACAGTTTTGAAGACATACGAAAGAAAAAAAGTTACCTATATTTCGAAATAATAATAATCATAGCTTATTAAAGAGGTGCCGATGTTCAACTATGATGTTGATCTTCCATATAATCAGAATTCGCGGTTCATGTCCTCGAAAAACTTCATTACGTCATCTCAGAAGAGGCACTGCACAACTACTTTCAACTTTACACATGTGACTGATAGTGGTAGTCACATCAAGTAAAATACACTTTGAACATACTGAAACCTCAAGATTCCTTAAAATAAATTAAAAATAAAAAAAACTGAACCATAGCGAGAAAAAAAAAAGAGTTTTGCATCTGGAATGGTTAACATATTGAGTTACCGTGCTCGTTTGCCTTATTCTTAACCCTGCTCCTGAAGATACCACTTACGAAAGTGTGCGAAACGTTGAGCCCAAAAACTCAATTAACACGGTTCCAACCCGGAAAACGATCATGTATTGATTCCGATCGTGCAAGCCTCCGAAATTATGAATTGATTGTTAAGTTTTAAATCTAGAGGAATTCAAATGCACCGTGGAAAATATTCATGGAATAAATTTAGTAATTTGAAAACTCTTCCAATAATAAAGATGTATTTATTCCAGCTGTATGTCGTCAAGTTACGACGTAAGTTCAGAAATATATTACTACTCATCTTTGTTTTTTGCTGATGGCATATTGGGCTACAATAGGACACAAAATATCCGCATCGTGTTACTCCACTACACGCTAGAATAATAGCTGCTCTTGGTTTTTTCGTACTATGTAGAGTTCAAGGAGTGCTTGTTTACCTCTTAGCATGAAAGTTCTGAACAATTTCCGCATAATTTTCGCATGGTGGGTGTAGATATTGGGTGAAAGCACAACGTATTTAGCTTTCTTCAGTCAAATTTGAAAGGTTTTTGCTTTTTAATTACGAAGTCTTCTAAAAGACTTCTGATCTGGGAAAGGTTAAATAATTTATTTTGTCAATGGATCTTGTTGGATTTTCACAAAACCAATGTAGTGCCATTTGGATAGGGAACTAGGTCATGTAGCACAGAATAGATATTGGCCTTGGAAGTGAATTTTTCATTTTTTTGTTTTTCTAGTGTAAACTGAGGCTTGCAGGCTTTTCGTTTCCGTCTGACTGTCTGTTGGTGATTTTTTTAAAATAATTAATGTCACGTTATCTAGTTTTGTAACTACAAGTTGTATGAATATAATGTGATTGCTATATTACCGAAAACTAAATTAACCTCATCAGGGCACAAATTGGTGCTTCCATGAATGGCATATTACTTGTTGCTAGCATTGATCTTAACATTTAGCTTGTTCATACTTGCACTTGTAATTGTCATAGCTTCCATGCAATAGTTTATATGTAGAGCGTTTACCGAATAGATGGTGTCATCACATGTCTACAAAGTGAGCGTCCAAGATTACACGATAACCTCAAAATTAAACGTATAATGAAACTGTGCCGGGATAATTGAAAATATCTTTATAAATGCATCTTATAGACCTTGTTGTTGAAATAACATACAGTATGATCCAAAATCTTTCTCGTGAGAAGAGAGAATAGAAAACCAATTATCATGTGGCTTTCTCACTTCTTCCCATGCGATTCTGAGATACCTTAGGGTAAAAAACTAGTTTAATGCAAATTTGTTTCAAGGCATCAATCAGTTGCATGGTATTCAAAGCGAATTATGTTATCACAACGAATATTTAGCAAGTTTTAAATTTTTAAATCAGATTTCACGCACTTTTACAACTCCATCTGTTCGGTAAACGGAGTATAGTTCATACGTATCCTTTTTCTGTAATTGTAGTAATGGAAAAAGTAATTAACGTTCTGCTTCATAAGCACATGTTTAACTTAATAACTGCTTCCAGTAACCACCCCAACGTTCTAGGTGAATTACAGCGCCCTCTGCAAGGCCCGGCTGATTCGCCAGCTGGAAATCGTCGGCAAGCAGTGCACAAACGAGGAGGTCGACGAGATGCTGGAAAACGGGGATGTTTCCGTCTTCACCTTCGAAATCACGACTGACACCCGGGTAGCAAAGCAGCAATTAGCCGACATCGAGGCCAGACATGCCGACCTGATGAAGCTGGAAACGTCCATCAAAGAGTTGCACCACATGTTCCTGGATATGGCGATGCTGGTGGAAGGCCAGGGAGAATTGATGGATCGAATCGAGTATCAGGTCGGATTGACAAAGGATTACGTCGAAGAAGGCACGAGGGAACTGAACCAAGCCGCAAGGGCAAAAGACAAGGCTCGAAAGAAGAAAATCATGATTGTAGTGTGCCTTACGATAACTGGTATTGTTACGTTCGGTATTACAGGAGGAATGTTATTTTAAATTGTCGGTGTGACAAAATGAGTGGTGACGGCAAGGTGCTGGTTTTGAGGGTGATGGAAAGAGGTAAGAAGTTCTGGGGTTTCTGGGCAGGATCATCAGATAAAACTAGAACTCACATAATGCTGACGTCATCACTTATTTTGTCTATCACGATAGATACATAGACTTTACTATACGAAAAAGTCTGCCTCAAGTACTTAAGTAGTGTAGCTAGCTATAGTTTCCCATTTTTTCGTATAGAAAAGTCGATTTCACGCAATGTGCCATGTTTTACGTCAATTACATGGTGTCGTCAATTTTACGTGAACAAATGGTTATTAATTACGTCATATTCACGAAAAATTTGGCGTTAGTAATGATAGTCAAATGTCCCGTCCTAGTGACGTCATCTTGTAACGAACTGTTACTGACTGAATTATTGACTTATTGGAAACGTCATTTATTGTCCATTTTAAGACGCTTCCTATATTTTGCTACCTTGGGTTTTTAGAACGAAATATGGAATGAAATGAAACACTAAATAATTTCATATTTTTATATTGTTGACCCTAAATAAAGTTTTTTATAATTCGATATAATTAACAATAATTAAAGATAAATCAACCTTAAGAACACAAAAATACATATGTACAAGTACACAACATTATAAGAAAACTGTAATCAAACTTTTGTGATTAAATTGTCTTTCCCTTACCAAATTTTTATGTTTTGCGAAACACTGTGATAAAAATAAATACTATGTAATACTATAGACCTAACCTAACCTAACGTAACACTTACCGGTCTTTTACCGAAGGTTGTCGCATATTTTTCGATGGAGTTGTTATTAAAAGAATGAACTGATGCGCGTTTTGCTTGATAATCTCGTATTTTATACGTATTGTTTAAAATATAGACGTGTAAATATCCGTTATTTGAATATTATGTAATGAGAATAACGGATAGTAAGTGCCAATCAAATGTGCCAATTAACCGCCATGACAATAAAATTTTGTAACGGAGGTTGGCATCACTTCTGTCCTCACGTTGACAGTTTTACTGTCGACTTACCTATTAAGTTTGTTGCGGTGTTTAGATATGTTTTAATGCTGCATTTAATCAACTGGTTTTTGTATAACATTGTTAAAATTTTTGAAAAATAAAAAAGAAATTTATATGGATTGATTTTCGTTTTCTTCTCGCCCTCATTTACGTATTCAGTACCAACCATATACTTCCACAGTTGTAATGTAATGCTTTCTAAGTGTGGTAATTTCTATTAAGTCGAAATGGAGACTCAAAAAAAAAACAAAAATTATTTACTTCTTTTTCGTAGGAGTTTTAGTAATGTTATGGCATGCCATGAGTTTAAATAAAAAAAAACTGTTTAATTTATAATTGATGACATATTAAGTCAATCTCTAATATCTCTGTCCATTATCACTAAAAAGTGGCAAATCTGTTAACATTTTCAAATTTCACAGTTCCTCACGAGTTCTCCTAGGTGTTAAAATGCTTTAAAAATTAATGATTATTCAACATCACAAGTTTCGTGATGATCATGATCAGATAAATCCTGAATTGCCGTTGTTTTTAATATTTGTTTGATTGATTCTCCATCACTTCCAGCTTGACGGGCCCCCAGGACATGTCACAATGCTGCTGTTAGGGGTGTTGAGGAAGTCGAGCTGCTCGAAGGTCTTCATCTCGGGTTTTTGGATACGGCCTGGGTGTAGTCGGAGATGCTGCACCCAGCACCAATCAATGGATGAATTTGTTAAATGTTTCGTCTAGTAATATATTCAGCAAATGTTATGTGGATATACCGTGTGACGCAGATGAACTTTAAACAAAAAGTCCTCTAGAAAAATACACAGTTTGTCCAAAAAATATAAATAGAAGGTAACTTAGCGAAAAATATCTTTGTTAATTAGTCCTGACTTGTTTGTTACAATAGGTTATTAACTTACTACAAAATTAAGACATTTTACAATTTGTACCTTTGAAAGGTCTCATACTAGTGGGAGCTGGCCAGTAAAAACAGCAATAAATGCTCGTCTTATTTATTTATCACAAAATCCGAAACTCCAACTTGGAAGGGGTCAAAAACAGTCTTGTAGTTTATAAAATATAATAATTCCAAAACATTAGTAAAAACTAGAAAATATTTTTTCAAAAATAAAATCTTAATCTCTATAATCACATTCATTTTTTGATCTAATGGTTATGACACAGAGGATACAGAGTCCTTTTGAAAGATATAATATCCTTGAAGTCTGATTGAATCGGAAGAGTTTGAAGTACCTTATAATACTGAACGTTATTTTTAGGCCTGTACGTCTTAATAATGATCTCTCTAACACGTTTTCTGCAAAGTTCCATTAGCATAGGAACCACTGGATATTTATCAGGATCCATGAACGATTTTAACTCGTCGTTTTCGAACAATAACCCATACTCAGTCAGATCGAAAATGGAGGCTTTGACGGGTTCTCGTAAGGCGAAATTAGCAAACACCAAGAAGATAATGTTTCTGACGAGATCTGGATCATACTGGGTGTTCAAAACAGGAACGAAGGTTCGGATGAGTGACGGAACTGCTATTTTGACATCATAAATGACTTTGGGGATGATAAGACACATTAGGTTCTTGAGTTTTGGGAGACGTCTAGAGGCGAATATAGTAAAGTCTAAGTGGGACTCGAAGGAGTAGAAGAAAGAGTCTGTTAAAGTTATGTCGTAGTTGCAGGGTTTGGACAGATCCATGTGGAGAAGAATTTCGAATAAGTCGCAATAACCGTACTTGAAGTAGATCTGGTGGATAGCTAAAGCGTTTAGATCGACTCCATAGCTAAGCATGCAACAGATCAGCTGAGTGATGGCCTCCAAAGAATTATCAGTGTAATCGAAAATGTCGATGATGTAGTTAATAAGAAGCGAGTCTTTGGCGTGGATTTGGTCCACAAGAGTATCAGCCACAGTACTGTCAAACAACGCCAACAAATTTTTTGTTACAGCTTCCAAATTCTTGAAGTATTCGCAGTCGAGGATGTCGATTTCGTAGGTCTCGAATATCTCCTGGATGACAAAATCAAACTTCTTGATGAAGAGAGTGAAGAATTCTGGGTAGTCTTTAATCGTGCAAAGAAACTCTTTAGCGTCAGGCTCGTTATAGTTAACCCCAGAAGCAATCTCCACCAGGTGAGGAAACGGCAGAGATTTCCCCTCCAAAGCTTTAATGAACGTCTTCAAGCTGAAATTCTTCTCGTAACCCTCCAACTTGTGAAGAAATATTTCCTGTACCTCTGGCTTGTCGTTCGAGCACGCAGCTATGTCGAAACACGTGATCACCTCAAAGGGCTCCCACAGCGACAAATACGTCAGAAATACGCACCAGCCCTTTTCGATTTTGAGATAGTCGGCTTTGATGTTGGGGTCTGCGCCGAAGAAGAGCAGCATCCAGATCTCGTCGATGAGCCCCCGTTCGCAGGCCCAGTGTAGAGGGGTTTCTGCTTTGGAGTTTTGGCCGTTGACGTTGAGGCCGCGTTCGATGAGGCACTCGGCCACTTGGATCCAGTCGTTACCCACGGCCCAGTGCAGCAACGTGCTTCTGTCGTCGAAATTGGCAAAAATATCACACCCTGCTTCTATCAGTCTGAACACGTAGTCTTCCGAATACGAGTCGTACATGAAGGCCTCCATCAAGGGAGTATTGCCTCTGCAGTTTCGGGAGTTTCTGGGGACTTCCTTCAGGCTGAGGAGATAATCCAGAACGTCGTACCTGGAAATGGTTCATGATTAAACTTGACAGGGTTTTGCGAGGAGGTTACATGTCGTGTCTTTGTTGGTTCATCACTGCTAGATGGAGAAGCGAGTTTTTGTTGCTATCACAGGAAGCGAAGCGTTTTCCGGTCTTTTTCAGCTGCTTGAGTTGGTCTAGGTCATTGTGTTGCACTGCGAGGATTAAATCTTCGGAGAGTCGAGACTGGATAAGGTTAGTTTTTGAAAAATTGGGACAAGGTGGTGAAACATACTTACGCGGAGCCACTTTTTGTTTTTTAAATATCTAACGAATGATGACATGAGGTTAATGTGTTATTGATTGGGGGGATTCTGCGCTTTGTGCCCAAGTGCTTCTGGGAATATCAACAGACTTTAAAAAAAGAATAAATGAGATTAAATAAACTAAATTTATTATGTAATGTATAATTACCAGATAATTACAAATTTTGAAACACTCTTTAACAAGTTTGCAAAGTAAAATATGAGAAATTTTACAGAATTTTAATACTTTTCGTGTTCATAACTTTAGTTTTGTTTATGAAGTGTGGTTTTTCGAGTTAAAGAAAAAAATTAAGAAAAGTAGTTTTTCTGCCATGTATCCATGGTGGATGCGCCGGGCGACCGTGCTCTGACTTGTTGCAATGTTATCGATTTAACCACATGTCAGAAGCTATAGTTACAAGCATAAACAAGCAGACAAAGGCAGCACATGGAATGCATTGAACGCAAAAGTTGCGCATTCGTGCCGACTTCCTCAACACACTCTGCAGTGGCAAGGCGCAAAATCAGAGCAATGTCAACATCTAACCTCAATGTGTTTCCTGCTAAAAATTTCAGAAATGGAACGCCCCGAGTAAAATGTACTCTTACACTGTACGCTGTGTTCAAAAATCTGTTTTCAGGTGTTGTTATCGACGAAATAGTCCGAGTTTCCCCAGTTTATAGGTCAAGCGGATCCTTATGGAATCAAAACAATAATTTGCTTCTACTCGCTGCAAACACGAAGAAAGCGGCGAAAACAGAAAAGGCTTTATAGGTTATTTATTATCGTTATTATTATTATTGTCACTCAGTCTCACAGTTCCATTTCCAAGTAACAAATATCAGTCTGCTAGTAATTTGGAAGGCAACCACTTTTATATATGCAAAGATTCCTAATGAAAAATAATATTTATCATGTTTTAGGGGTACATCTATTGAAAGTCGAAGTTTAGGAATGAGAGGTGCTTTGTTTGTTGATCCTTAATTGTCTAATTCTTATTAGATTGTAGTTTCATTCAAATACACTTCCATTTTTTTCACTGAATGTTTAATGAGTGATATACCGTAGTCCAATGATTGACACAATTATTATTACTTTTAAAAAGTAATTCGTTGAGTTACTCATTACTCAGTATAAATAGTAATTCATTACAATTACAAATTACTTTTAAAAAAATTGATCGAAAGTTATTTCGATAGAACTTCCCTCGCTTTTGAAGTACGGTCCAAATACTGCTTCTCTGAAAAATAATAAATTTTTTTTTCGTGATAACCTTTATGGAGTAAAAATAATATAGAAGGTATTAGTCAGTAATAGAAAAAAAGAAGATTCCACATTCTTAAAAAAAAGACATTTGGGGCCCCCGAGAAGGTTTTCATATAAAAAAAAAGACATTTGGCGCCCCCGAGAAGGTTTTACTTACATTTTTAAGAAAGACAGTTGGTCTTCCGAGGAGGTTTCTCATTCTAAAAGAAACCTTAGGCACCACCGAGAAGGTTTTACATTTTTAATAAATACAATTGGGAAGCCGAGAAGGTTTCACATTCTTAAAAAAATACATTTGGGGCCCTCGAGAAGGTTTTCCACTTTTAAAAAGACAATTGGGACCCCCGAGAAGGTTTCACATAAAAAAAAGTTGATTGGAGCCCCTGAGGTTTTGCATTTTTAAATAAGAAGTTGGGATCTTCGAGTAGGTTTCACATTGGAAAAAAGACATTTGGAGCCCGCGAGAAAGTTTTCCATTTATTAAAAATACAGTTGGGACCCCCGAGAAAGTTTCACATTAAAAAAAAAGACATTTGGAGTCCAGGAGAAGGTTTTACATTAAAAAAAAGACAACTGGAACCCCTGAGAAGGTTTCACATTCTTAAAAAAATACATTTGCCCCCCCGCCCCGAGAAGATTTTCCATTTTTAAAAATACAGTAACCCTTTTCTTTTTTAAAACAAGACAGATGGGACTTCAGAACATTAAAAAATCGAGAAATGGAAAAAAATAAAGAAAATACAAAATTAAAACAAAAAACGAAAATCAAAAACTGTAAATTGAAAAACTGTAGAAACGAAAAATTGAAAAATCGAACTCGTCATAAATAGCAAATGGAAAAATTGCAAAATCTAGAAACTGAAATATTCGAAAGTTAGAAAATTGGAAAATTGAAAAATCTTAAAATGAAAACACAAAGTTACGTCGTAAAAACGAACAAACAAAAAAAATGAAAAATTCAGAAATTGTAAATCGAAAAATTGAAGAAACAAAAAAATGAAATATTGAATAATCGCAAATCTAAAAACTGAAAAACCGAAAACCTGAAAAACTAAAACGAAAAACAGAAAAATTATAAAAGTGAAACGTTGAAAAACCGAATAATTGAAAAAATAAAGAAAATAAAAACCCAAAAATTGCAAAATCTAAAAACTGAAATATCCAAAAGTTGGAAAATCGGAAAACTGAAAATTTTTAAAAAGAAAACATGAAGAGAGAAAAATTGAAAATGAAAACTCCAAGAGTTACATATAATAAAATTGAAAAAAAAATGAATAATTGAAAAATTGCAAATCAAAATATTTAAGAAACGAAAAATTGAAAAAAATTGAAATTAAAAAACAAAAACTTATAAAATCGGAACACTGAGACATCGAATTGTAAAAATAAGAAAACAAAACCCGAAATGAAAATTTGAAAATCGAAAATTTGAAAAAATGAACAATTTAAGAATCCAAAAATTGAAAAATTAAGAAGTGAAAACTTGAAGAATTTTAAATCGAAAAATTTAAGAAATCAAAAAATAAAAAATTTGAGAATCGTAAATCGAAAATCAGAAAAAATTAAAATTGAAAAACCAAACAATTATAAAAAATTGAGTAGTTGAAAAAATTAAGGAAATAAAAACCGAAAAATTGCAAAATCTAAAAACTGAAATATCCAAGAGTTGTAAAATCGGAAAACTGAAAAATTTGAAAATTAAAACTCGAAGAGTTGCATGTCGTAAAATTGAGAAACAAATGAAAAATTGAAAAATTGCAAATCGAAAAATTTAAAAAATTTAAATCAAGAAACAAAAAATTATAAAATCCGTACTCTGAAAAATCAAAAAATTGTAAAAATAAGAAAATAATAAAATAATAATAGAATCCGAAACGAAAATGTGCAAATCGAAAATTTTAGGAAATGAACAGTTTAAGAACCGAAAAATTGAAGAAACAAAAAAAATAAATTTTGAAAAATAGCAATTCAAAAACTGAAAAAACGAAAACCTGACGAAATTATAATTGAAAAATCGAAAACAGAAAATAAAACCCAAAAAATTGTAAAATTTAAGAACTGAAATATCCAAAAGTCAGAAAATCGGAAAAATGAAAAATTTTAAAATGAAAATACGAAAAGTCATAAATTTGAAGAAACAAAAAAATGAAAAACTGAAAAATTGCGAATCAAAAAATTCAAGAAATGAAAAATTGAAAAAAATTGAAATTAAAAAACAAAAATTATAAAATCGGAACACTGAAAAACCGAAAAATTGTAAAACTAACAAAATAAAAATCTAAACGAAAATTTGCAAATCGAAAATTTGAAGTAATAAACAATTTAAGAATCGAAAAATTGAAGAAACAAAAAATGAAATAGGTATTAAAAAATCGCAAATTGAAAAACTGGAGAAACGAAAACCTGAAAAAATTAAAATAAAAAAATAAAAAAATTATAAAAACAAAAAATTGAATAATTGGAAAAATAAAGAAAATAAAAACCGAAAAATTGCAAACTCTAAAAACTGAGATATTCAAAAGCGGAAAATCGGAAAACTGAAAAATTTTAAAAAGAAAACACAAAGAGTTGCATGGTTTTAAAATTGAAGAAACAAAAAAAAATAAAAATTGAAGAAACGAAAAAATTGAAATTAAAAAACAAGAAATTATAAAACCTAAAAATTGCAAAATCAAAAAACTGAAATATCCAGAAGTTGGAAAATCGGAAAGCGATACATTTTTAAAAAAGAAAACACGAAGATTTGCATGTCGTAAAATTGAAGAAACAAAAAAACTAAAAAGTGCAAATAAAAAAATTGAAGAAACGAAAAACTAAAAAAATTAAAATTATAAAACAAGAAATTATAAAATCGGAACATTGAAAAATCGAAAAATTGAAAAATTAAAAAACTGAAAAGTTGCAAAATCGAGAAAGTAAAAGCTCCATAAATTCCAAATCGAAGAAATGAAGACGCGAAAAATTGAAACATTGAAAAACCATAAATAAAGAAAGTAAAAAATCGAGAAAAAATAATTAATCAAAAAATTGGAAAGAAGAAAAAACGAATCGAATCGCAAAATTAGAAAACCCAAAAATTGTGAAATTGAAAAATTATAGAATCGTCAAAATTGTAAAGCCGAAAAGCTGTAACATTGAAATATAGAAAAATTATAAAATTAGAACATTTAAAAAGCAAAAAATTGTACAAGTACAGAAAAGAAAAAACGAAAACAAAGAATTGTTATTCGAAGAATTGTGAAATTAAAAAACCGAACAACTGAAAACTCGTGAACTCGCAGATCGAAAAATTGCAAAATCTAAAAACTGAAATATCGAAAATTTGGAAAATCGGAAATCTGAAAAATTTTAAAATGAAAACACGAAGAATTAAATGCATGACGTAAAATTGAAGAAACAAAAAAAAATGAAAAATTGAAAAATTGCAAATCCAAAAACTGAAGGAACGAAAAACTGAAAAAATTTAAATTAAAAAACAAAAAATTATAAAATCAGAACATTGAAAAATCAAAAAATTGTTAAAATAAAGAAACTAAACACCGAAACGAAAAATAACAAATCGAAAATTTTAAAAATTAAAAATTGAAAACTTGACAAATTTTAAATCGAAAGATTGCAGAAACAAAAAATGAAAAATTTATAAATCACAAATCGAAAAATTGAAGAAACGAAAACCTGAAAAAAATTAAACTGAAAAACCAAAAAATTATAAAATCAGAACCCTGGAAAAACAAATAATTGAAAAAACAGAGATAATAAAAAATCGAGAGGAAAAATTGCTAAACTGGAAAATTAAAAATTGAATACTCAAGAAACTCAAATCAAATTGAAACATTGAAAAAATTAAACTTAAAAAACAAAAAATTATAAAATCGGAGCACTGAAAAATCGAAAAATTGTAAAAATAAGAAAATAAAAACCGAAACGAAAATTTGCAAATCGAAAATTGAAGTAACGAAAAATTAAAGAAACACAAAATTGATATACTGAAAAA